AAATTGAAGCCATTCTAAGCAAAAGTAAAGTAAGTCATAATTTTGAATAAAAAAAAAATGTGTGTGTCAGCTCCGACGCACGACCGGAGTTTACACTCTAAACACGATTGTCTTTGAACAGACACAAAACAAAATCAAGTCCAAAGAAGTCGGTTACAAGTAGAGATACCTCAGGAATCGTCCCATGGTTTCGACTATCATAGGTTCCATGGCACACATTTTATCATCTAACATCATCGATATTCATGATATATTTTATTATGTATTTCTGGAAACACACAATTTCAAAAATATCACACACTAGTCATCATTTTGTAAATATGTATTATAATTCCATCTGTACTGAAAATCACTATTCCAGAGTGCTGGACACTTACCGGCATTTTTCTATATTCTGTTATTTACTTGTTTTCATTAATTTTGCTCCGATTTTATCTATTTTTAGTTTATTTATTTTATTGACATTTGAGACAACTTAATGTTTTTTATCCGTTGCCATGGCTAAAAGTGAAAGGTGCGCAGATGAGGTTGCGTACAAAAACGTAACGAGGTCATTTGTTCAGTAGATTTTACTCCTCACATTTTTCTCATACCTAATATACGCAAATCGATTCTTAAGGAGTAAACTCCAAAAGTAAAAAATAAGCTGTTCCCATGAGTCTCAAAGTATGTTCTGATTTTACTTTATAACATAGTTTATGTTATCACAACAAGGTTAACAAAATTCGTAACGACCTTTGTGCGTTAATGGATAAAGCGCCAATAAAATAAATAAAACTTTCATAAAAATATTCGAGTTTCAACTCTATGCCCAGTTGTTGTCTATTTTAAGCAAATGACCGAATGGTTTGATAAAATTACTTTAGAATTAGTATTGATCATTTGAAAGTAACTATTTGCAGCTGCTGAAAGTGACGCAAATAAGTTTTTATGTCGCCATTATCCGCGTCGCGGCGTCTACGAGTACGATGCGAGTTTCTTTAAAAATTCGTTTATGAGAACTTTTCTACTTTTTGGTTAAATGAGGTTCATCATCATCATCATCAGCCTCTTAATGTCCTCACTGCTGGGGCACAGGCTTTCCCTATGGATGGAATAGGGAGATTGGGCCATGACCCTTTTTTTTTTTGTGACGAGGGGAAATGCAGTTACGCACCATACCGTGACGCTGACTAGGCGCACGGCGTGTGTGGGACTCGCCGGCACGGGAAACAGTGCCGACCCTACTCAAGCAGGACCAGTGCGGAAGGCCACACTGATCCTACTCCACTAAAACCCCCCGGTACCCTCCTACGCCTATACGGGGGCGTCTCAGGATCGACGCACCTTAGCGTGCGCCACTTCACTGGGACGTCCCCGGGCAGGCCCGGCCCAACGAGTGGACCGGGCGACGCGCCTCAGGGGGACTGCGCTAGGGTATTAGGCAGTCCCCAGACGTGGTGGCCTATGCCGGAGGGGCCATGACCCACCACGCGGGCCCAGAGCTGATTGGCGGGTGCTAACGACTGCAGATGTAATCGGGACCAACGGCTTAACGTGCCTTCCGAAGCACGGAGGAACTCTAGATAGAAATTTTTGGTCACCCATCCAATGACCGACCACTGCAAAAGTTGCTTAACTACAACGATCGCAGCCGAACGCGCTAACCACTGGAATGAGGTTCATCCTATCGCAATAATCGCAGTGTTTCGTATGTTGCTCACATACATACAAATTCGTTACAGAAACAAAAGTTCTGAAAAAGGACTTAATCTATTTTGGTTTGAGACATCCAATCTCTGTGCTGTGTTTTTATTGACAGTAATATTAATGAAGCATGATTGATGTTCTTAGATATAGGAGTTTGGTAGAAGCGATACAATATTGCACTGTTATGATGTTATTAACGGCTCTAAGCGTCAATGAAATTATTTGAGTCGCGAAGCAGTTGCCCGTTTGACTGGCAGAACTGAAGCATTGACTGGCAGATTTTGTCAAACAATTTCGTGATTTATAGGTATACATAAAATGCGAACATTAAAATCTGAATCACGTAGACTTACAAAAATAACACATATATAATAGCTCGATGGCGCGGGTGGTTAGCGCGTTCGGCTGCGATCGTTGAAGTTAAGAGACTTTCGCAGTGGTCGGTCATTGGATGGGTGACCAAAAATCTTCTATCTCGAGTTTCTCCGTGCTTTGGAAGGCACGTTAAGTCTTTGGCTCCGGCTGCATCTGCAGTCGTTAGCACCCGCCAATCCGCACTGGACCCGCGTTGTGGGTCATGGCCCAATCTCCCTATTCCATACATAGGGAAGGCCTGTGCCCCAGCAGTGGGGACATTAATAGGTTGATGATGATGGTGATATAAAAGTAACATTTGTATTTATACTCTTTGTAATAGCGATCAAAATGCAGGTGGACAATTAATGTATATTTCACATTATGTAATGAAGGGTGACTTATGAATCATGTCTGAAATATTTTTTTACGACTCTGTAAGTAATAATATAGGGCGAAAAAAACTGCTATTGCCGAGTTTTTTGGCGGTTCTCCTCAGCCCAAGATCTTCCGCCGTAGATTAGTATTTAAGAACCGATGGCGTAGCTTCTAGACATTCATGAGTGCTTGTTGTTGCTTAAACTAAATAATGAGTTTATAAAATCCCTTTTCTCGCTCGCCCTCTCGCCTTAACTTTTCGGACATTGTAAACATGGTGCTTCGAGAGTTAATAAAATTGTTCTACATGAGTTCATTTCATCGTTAATCTTACCTATATGCGGATTAAAATTGGGCGTCGTCCTATATTAATACGATTGCACGAATTTAAGTCTTACAAATTCACGACCAAACTAAAAGAATGTCAAATAATTGACGTTCAAGTGATGCTATTTGATTTGATTGAACACTATTCAACCGCTATGGTATAATTACTGAGTTCCGCTTTCGGCCATGCAAATGATAGTGATTTTTTTTATTAGCGGCTTAGATTAAAACAAAAAGGGTAGATACGGTAAGCTCATAATAGCATTAAATAAAATATGATCCGACTCAACTGCATAAGCAACTCTCACACACGCACACTTCTGTATATTAACATTCAATCGAGCGACCGAGACAGAACTATACGTTTCAACGCAGCGTATTGTTGTACATTCATGAGAAACCGCGATTTTTGAGATTTTTTTACAGTATTACGAATGAAAATTGTTGCCCAGGCATTTCTTATTTGATTTTGAACTATTTGTGTTCTGTATAAAAACATCGAAGGCTATTATTTTATCTTCATAACACAGAATATACGCAATATTGTTAAATTGAGTGCACATGCAGCGTGTTTGAATGTCCAATTGTGACTAAAGCGAATTGTGGTCGTGCACCACAATTTAAGCGGATCACTTTTGAGCCGCGAGTGCCGTATCTTCCCATTTTGTTTTAATCTAAGATTAGCGGTATGGTTTTGGTTCTACATATGAGTATTATAGTTTTTCTATGTTTTTATCCTGCGAATAGTTATGATATGTTTTGCTCTGACATCTACTACGGCAGTTTCATTGGCATTTATAGCAACACTAGTGGCCCGCCCTAGGTATATAGATATCGAAGGAGATTGATGGCGTAGTGGTTAACGAGTTCAGTTGATTATCGGATAGGTAACCAACATTTTACTGATTCGAGCTCCTCCGTGTTTCGAAGTACATGTTTAGCTGTTGGTGCCGGCTGCATCTGCAGTCTATAGTAGCCACCAGTGTTGTCAGATGAGGAAATGCTAATTGCGGATTTTCAAACGGTATTTTAAAATTAACTTACATATTTACTTTTGTGTCTTGTATGTTGTACCAATAAAGAAAGAAAGAGGAATGATGAAGAATGTTGTAATAACATGTGTAAGAAAGATGTTATTATTTGAAGGGTACACGACATATGGTACCAATATCGGCATACAAATTAATTAGGTTATTCAAATTACAAGTCAAAAGTCTTAAAGCAATAATAGAACATTACATGTCAAATTCATATGATTCTAATTCAATAATCAAATGGCAAATTAATTAAAAAATAGTAGTGATAATAATAATAAAAACATAATTACAATTCAAAATTTGTCTTTAATAATTTCGATTCATCATAATAACATTTATCAATTAAAATATTTTTTATTTTCTTCCCATATCATCATCAGCCTATTAATGTCTCCACTGCTTGGGCACAGGCCTTCCCTATGGATGGATTAGGGAGATTGGGCCATGACCAACCACGAGGCCCAGTGCGGGTTGGTGGGTGCTAGCGACTGCAGATGCAGCCGGGGCCAACGGCTTAACGTACCTTCCGAAGCACAGAGGAACACGAGATAGAAAATTTTTGGTCACCCATCCAATGACCGACCACTGCGAAAGTTGCTTAACTTCAACGACCTCAGCCGAACACGCTAACCACTGGCGCTATCGAGCTCCTCGTATGTATAAGATATATTTTTTTTGTTTCTAAGGTTTTCACGCACATCACTCATTAAACAAAACAAGTTTCGAAGGGATAGATGTACTAATTTTATTTATTTATTGACGTTTCACACCCTTTGCAGGAATGAGTCGTCGGAATAAAATCAGTGCATCTAACCCTTTGAAACTTGTTTTAGATATAATTTAATTCTTTCAAATATGGGAGTCTTTTATACATTAATCATACTCAAAATCATTTATTCAGTTTAGGCTGTTACAAGCACATGTGAATGTCTAGAAGCTACGCCATCGGTTCGTAAATCTACGGCGGGAGACCTTCTACTGAGAAGTACCAGCAAGAAACTCAGCAAGGGCTGTTTTTTTCTCCCTGTTTTATCATTTACAGAGTCGTCAAGTTGAAAAATTACTTCAGAGATGATTCATGAAGTCACCTTCCATTACATAATGTGAAATTATACATTAATTGTTCACCTGTATTTTGATTGCTGTGTCACACAGTATAAATACATTCGAGGGGCCATACAGAATATGTTCTTTAAATAAAGTTTTTTTTTGCAGTTAAAAATGGCGACACCCGAGCAGCCGTCAGCGGCGACCCCCGGCGCTGATACTGTGGACCCAAACCAGCCTACGCCCGCGCCCCGCAAGCAGGCGCGGCCCCGAGGCAAGCCGCAGCCAGAGCGCCCGAAACGGAGTCTCTTCTGTTTGGGCCTCAAGAATCCTCTGAGGAAGCTCTGCTACGATATAGTCGAGTGGAAGTATCCTTTGCTAAAGATATAAACTGAAGAGATACAAAGTTTTGTACTTTATAAACTTTTATTTTTACTTTTCATTAAATAACAAATTTATTTTCTTTGGTTGTCATAAATATATATAAATAATTCTAGAATAAAATCAAAAGCAACGTGGCAAATATTAAACTAAAACTGCTACGATAAAACTAGATAAAAATTACAAATTTTAAAAAAATAGCTGCCCTAAGTCTTTCCCATCGGCAAAGGTTCCCAGGACGCTGGCGGCATTTCCCTGCTGAATGGCGAGGCTTATGCGCTGGGCGAAATAGCCGCCAGCTCTGCGGTCTCCAGTGATCTCCACCAATCTTTTGGCGTTATTTTTTTTGATTTTTTTTTGTACTTTTGTATCGAATATACTTAAAAATATCGCTAGCTACGTCTGCATTCCCCACAGAACACAAAAAGTCTTTATGGGAGGGAGGGGCAGGCGCGCTACAGATACGTATGAACAAATGCTCATAACTTGACCAAAGCGTGGTTCTGATTGCGTCGTTACTCTCGGGGCGTGAGCTCTGATTGGTTCGATTGTTTGATGTCGCGTCGTTTGATTGGCTATTATCTATTAAGGCGGTATCAGACGGTTCACTTATCGTTCATTTTTGTCTTTCATTCGGCATCTTTCACTCGAAATGATTCGTCTGAACCCCAAATGATACAAGAGTGCCGAATGAATTCATTAATGAACCGATGCGACGATGTTAGATTTTATCATTCGGCATCTTTCACTCCAACTGCGAATGAACGAAAAATGAACAGTTTGCACACAGAAAGAACGTTCACTCGGATTTGGCCATTTAGTCTCGAGCTCGGTAGCAGACGCACGTCCCGATGCGTCACGGGAAATTGGTAGCAAAATAGTGTTCAAGTGGAATGAGCAAAGTACGCTGCTGTTTTTGGAATATTTTAAGAATTATCAATGTTTATGGAACCGCAAATTTGACGAATCCAAGGATAGAACATTATGTACAAACGCTTTAAAATCCCTAATTAAACCTCGAGGTTACTGAAGAAGACATCAAACATAAAATAAAAACTATACGGACCCGCTTTACAACTGAATTAAAAAAAAAATAAAGCAGTCAACTAAAAGTGGTTGCTCTTCTGACGATATTTAGTTGCCTACACTGTACTGGTTTAAAATTTCCAGAACGACGTTTTCTATGCTTCTTTTTTTTTACTAACTTTTCAATTAAATGATCACAAATTAAACGGATCCCGAGACGCACGACTACACCCGATGACATATTTAAGGTAAATAAGAGATGAACGTTCTTATCTTTCTCATTCGCAGTATTCACTCGAGTGAACCGTCTGATATCACCTTTAGGTGGAAGTGTAGTCGGGTCGAGCCGGCGACATCGGCTCCCGTACAAACGGTATACGATAACGCTTCTAACCCTTTTTCTATGTTCTGTGGTTATCCCCGATACAAATAATATAGGGACCTTCACGGCAAGAGTAAATATGCATTATTTGAATTTGCGTGCTCCAGCTTAGACCAAATCGTTGCTCAATATCAGGTGCGATAGTGGTCAAACGCACTTAAAGCTTTTATGTAAAAATCAAAGAATGTATTGGATCGCTTTCAAAATTCTTTCACTATTAGAACGCTGCATTATGCGTAACTTTATATGCTATATGCAGGAGAGTATTCCCCCCCTCTCCCTTAGAATTAGTTAATCAAATTAGATACATATTCCCAGTGCCGTCTTTGATTTATTGGAGGCCCTGGGCATATTAGGATAATGGGATGTCAAATATCTAATACTGGCTGCTTCTATAGACATAGCGACATTTTTCCCTGTAATGGCGTAACGCATATCAAACTAATGTCTATAATAGCAGCAACCGAAATCGGAAATGAGATTTTATTTTACAAAATACCCTTCAGATTGGCTGGAGCAATCAGCTAATAATAATAATAGATGCAAAGGCAGTACTCCTGGACACAGCGCGCATCGTCAGGCGGTTTCTTTCTCTGCGGCCCTAAACACCGGTACCTTGGGCCTAGCTCCGCTGCCTTCTAGGTTAGGTTTTTTATACTAAATTTGTATTTACGTTTTTGTATTTTACTTTTATATCTATATTATAAAAAACTTAACTGTGAAATGAAATAAATGAGAGTATGATAATAATAATAATAAACTTTATTTTCTCTCCACAATCTTATACATGCTACATAAGTAACAGATTATATAACTTAGGACTAAGATTGTGAGAGACTGGTGACCAAATTAAGCTGACGCCTGTGTCTCAATGCATCAGCCTCTCCACGCTATAAGAAAGTGTTACATAAGCAAACAAAATGACGGGTTGCACTCCGGGAGTGCCGGCAGAAGTGAAAACTTCAATATTAACGTTGTGCATTTTTGATATTTTGGAATGGTTAGGGAATAATTTTACACGAATTGCTTTAATTATCAGTATAAAAGTACTATCATGTATGTGGTACAATACAATATTTCTTTATTGCGCTATCGTACACAAACATGACAATTTATATTACGTTAAAAAAGTTTATCTCTCAGAAAAATCAACTTACATGAAACACGTTTAAGCGCACTTAGCGACATCTATTGTAAAGAAATCAACTCACACGAATCACATTTAAGCGCACCTAGCAACATCTATTGTAAAAAAATGCATTTACTTCGCAATAAAGCTGCCACGTGGACGTCTTAGATAGAGACTTATTATTATTATAATACGATAAAATAAAATATTACTATGTTTCGTCCAATATATTGAAAGTCAACAACCTTTCCAATTTTATTGTGTGTCATGATGCGATCAGCCCACGTGTTTAACCTGACGTGAGTTTAACATTTTTTACCCATACAAAAAAAGTGTACAGCGCCGCTAAGGAAGTTTTCACTTCAAAAAAGAACAATGATAAATTCTAGTTTTAAATTAATGTTATTTAGCATGATAGGGTGTATGGTTGTGAGTGTATGTGGGTGTGAATTTGTGAGCGAGTGTGTGTGTGGCTAAGCCTTGTTTGAAACATTAAAAAGAGAAGTTTTACATTTCCTTAAGATAAACACTGTCAGACCGTTCGAGTACATGATATTAATAACAATTTTCGCCAACTGTATAGCCTTAGCTGTGTTTACTCCATATCCGTCCGGTGACACAAATAATACTAATCAAATTTTGGTAAGTTGTTTTGTTTTTGACTAAAAGAGTGGTAAACAAGCGTATGTCTCGCAATATGGTAAGCGGCCAGCATAGCCTGTAGAATAGGTGCTTGCGATACAAAAAATATCACTTCCGCCTGACCCAATCTCTCAGTGGCGGCGCTAGGCGTCGGCGACGTCGGCCACCGCCGACGGCCTCGCGCCTGAGGAGGCCTCGCAAAAAATTTTTACAAGTTACCTATTTATTTTCGTTTCTCCTGGCCTGGCTTAGCGGGTCGACCCCGAACAATTCGGGGAAAAAGCTAAGCAGATGATAATGACTTTTATTATTTTCGAACACGTGCGTGATGGAAGCAAGTAGTACTTTACGGGTATTCAGAATCGTCTGTCTGGCAATACTATTTTTGTAATTAAATTTCTATTTTTTTATTTTTTTTTGTCATCATTTGATTATTATTAACAATAATACTCGTTTACTCATACGTTATTTTATAATTTGGCTCACTTAATTTAACGGTTTTTTACTGCGAAGTAAAATAGGCCTCGCGAACTTGATGTCGCCGACGTCCACATGTGGTCTAGCGCTGCCACTGCAATCCCTTACCTCGTGGAGATTCGGTACAGAAACGAAACGAGCCCGCACCGACCCGGTGGGAAAGGCGCCTTATGGTGATAATATTTTTTAATAAAATTTGAATATTGACTTTTATAAATATTATTATCTTTATCCAGTACAAATAAATGCAGTTAAAGGCCTGTACGTCACAAGCGAATACGCTCCGAACGTATTTTAAAGTAATACACAATTTCATTTGCTTCTGTTTTGAATGAAAAAGAATATTTTTTATCTGAATAAAATTTTCATAGAAAAAAATTCACGCTGCCCTGGCAGCAGACGGGACTCTAATCAGCACACTCCTCCGCGGTCCGCGTGGATTTTTTTCTAGGAAAAAAATCTTTAGATTAAACATCTAGCAGTTTAATGTTTAATAAAATATATACAGGGTGTTACAAAATTACAAATAAAGCTTGAAGGGCGTTAAAGTACATCATATAAGGAGTCTCTCTAATTTTCTTAAAATATTTGCATGAAGTTTTAACTTTTTATAATTTTTAATGATCCTCGAACTAGTGACGTGTCTTAAACTGATTGATATTTTTATTAATCATTAAAAATATCTGTTTTTATAAAAAGTTAAAACTTCATGAAAATATTTTATTTCGTAAAAAGCCATTTAGAATGCAATGCTTTAGACTGGTCGCCACAAGAAGCGAAATATAAATTAATGTTAGAACGCATCCAGAACAAATTCGTGAGATTTATTTTTTTGAAGCAGCATGGTGTGTATCCAGGCTTTCCACTTTTGTACCCTACTCTGTTCACACTAGGCATGACGGGCTATTTTAAATTAGAAGTAAGGAGGGAAGTGTCTCTGGCCACTTATTTATTCAAAGTGATTCGTGGTAAATGAAGGACTCTGGGTTCCTTCATTTACCACGAATCACTTTACTATTCTTCACACAGTTCAGTTGTGTGTGCCCAACGCGTACGCGGGGCGACGGAGGCAGCCTCCCCTGTTGTGTGTGCGGCGCGCGTGCACTAACCTGCAGCACTGCGCTCCTCTCACGCGCGCTCTGCGCGCACTCAACACGCTGTCTCTGCACATTGACTTGTTTCAATGCACATTGAATGAATTCACACGGGCCGCTTATTGTATACTATCATAAAAATGTTTTTTTTTTTTCGTGTTTGTGTTTTTTTTTTATTTTTAGTTTTGTATAATAATTGCTTGTATCGTAACTACTCTATTGTATTAGGTTATACCTGTAATGATAGATGTAAGTGATTATTTAATAAATAAATAAGAGATTAGAAAAGACTCCTTATATGATGTACTTCAACGCCCTTCAAGCTTTATTTATATTTTTGTAACACCCTGTATAATTTCTATCTATTTAAACAAACAAAATATATTATGTGAATAAAGGCGTCTTCAATTCGAAAAGTTATAACTTTTGTTTTGATCACGAGTTATTCTTTGACCCTGAGAAGGACCGAACTGTTTTTTTATTAATATTATTTTAATATTATGTTTGATAAGACTTTTCTCTAGTATATTTTGGATCATTGCCAGAAATTGTCTGAACAGTGAACAGTGGCCAAGTTATGGACATAATAGACTATGATGTCCCTTTTGTGCTGTGACAACAACTGCGATATTTTCATCGCAATTTTTGTGTTCTGACTCTGAAAAGAATCGGGTGTTTAAAAATATACACTGGTTTAATATGTCATAGATGGTATGATAAATCAAAAATTTGGCGAACATCTTAGAGATTTTGCACGTGGTAGATACACGGATAGTTTGACAATGGCGCTCATATTGCTCAATGTTAAAATATTTCTGGCATCATAGTCAAGACACTAACCTAACCTAGTGTGAAAATGTTATGTAAGCGATACGAATACGGTACCCCTAGCACGAACAACTGACGACAAAGTATTTGTATCGTTATGTCATATTCAAATTTTATCAAAAAAAAATCCATGGAAACTGAACAGTGTCCTACCGGACGTAAGCACAAACTAGCTTTTTTGAATAGAAAATTTTACATTACGAGTACGACACAAATACTTTCTCGTCAGTTGTTCGTGCTAGGGGTACCGTATCCGTATCGCTTATGTAAAATTTTCTATGGAAAATGAACAGTGTCCTACCGTCTGGTAGGAACAAACTAGCTTTTTCCATACAAAATTTAACATGACGATACAAATACTTTCTCGTCAGTTATTCGTGCTAGTATTCGTATCGCTTACATAACATTTTCATACTAGGTTAGGTTAGTGTCTTGACTATGATGCCAGAAATATTTTAACATTGAGCAATGTCAGCGCCATTGTCAAATTATCCGGGTACTGTATTAGTGTCGCTTACGTCAATTTTTCTAAGGAAACTACCTTTTGTACTTTGTTAATGATATTTTTAAGACTTATTCGCTTTAAAAATTCTCTAGTAGGTACTAATAATAAACAAACGGTGGAAATATTCGGATTAAAACAGATAGCAAAGGATTTGCAAGCAATATTTGAATCAAACAAAGCTAAAAGCATATTGCTCATAAATTTCAGACGCGGCGCTACACGCAATGGATTATTCATAAGAACAATGATCATTCTGTATGATAATAAAACTATAATATGATTTTTAACACGCAAGTGTCTTATACAAGAACTAACGGTTGCCCGCTACTGCGTTCGCGCTAACTTTCTATTTTGTTTAAATCCCACTTGAACCTTAGATTTTTGGCTTTCATAGGTTCTAAGTATTACAAAGTAAGGTTCCAGTGGGAAAATCCCTTTAAGGGTGCGAGTTCTGGAAAATCCTTTACTATCTCTTATCTATTAGACAAGTCCGTCTGTCTGTGGTGCTGTTTCAGCGGCCAAACCGTAAGAGATAGATAAAGAGAATATTTAAGTTATAAGTTAAGAATAGTCTGATAAGACTACAAACCGGATTTGAGTAACGTAGCACTTCCGATTTTCGAGAAATCAGGTTTTGGTGAACATTTGGTTCACTGGGTTGCTAGTTTATTATAATATATAACTACTCGTATATGATTGTGCCAAATTTCAGCGCAATTCTTTCAGTGAATTGAACTGTGTTACAAAATTAAAATATTTTTCACTCTAAAACGGAACGAAAGCCGCAAGAATTATTAAAAAAAATATTATTTTGGTTTCTGTAGTTGAGTTCCAGGGATTTACGGGGTAAACGATTGGGTAGGCTACGGTGCGAAAGATATTATTGGTATCGTAAGCGTTTATAGGCTATGTGGCCGCTTTTTTTTATTTTTTTATAGCGAGGTATGCAAATGACTCAACCCCACCTGATGTTAAGTGGTGATAAAGTCCAAATTAGCTTCCCATCAGGCGGGCCATAAACTTGTTTACACCCTTTCGACATAAAAAATGTTAACTAGAAATATAAATACTTGATTAGTGAAAACTTAGTTATAAATCTAAATATATAAAATATAGACTTTGAAACCTTCCGACTGATATGCGCCAAAATCATTTCATTTGCGAGATAATAATAACATGGTTTTGGTCATATAAATAAATTTGGTCTGTCTATGAAGTCGATTTCCATTTTTCCCATCAAAAGTTTTCATAAAAAAAATGTTACTACTAGAGGAGCTCGATGGCGCGGCTGCTTAGCGCGTTCGGCTGCGATCGTTGAAGTTAAGCAACTTTTGCAGTGGTCTGTCATTGGATGGATGACCAAGAGTGTTCTATCCCGAGTTCCTCCGTGCTTCGGAAGGCACGTTAAGCCGTCGGTTCCGGCTGCATCTGCAGTCGTTAGCACGTTAATGTAACAGCTAGTTAGTGGGTCATGGCCCAATCTCCCTATTCCATCCATAGGGAAGGAAGTGGGAACATTAATAGGCTGTACACGATGATGTATGTTACTAGAAAAGTTTTACCTCGGTCCAGGTTCGAGACGAGATACGAACCCGGATCTTCCAGCGGACGCACTAAAAATATATAGGTAGCGGCGAAATTCTTGAGCAAAACCACAAACAAATAAACTTGTAGGCATTTTTGTATGTATAATTGGTACTACGCAGGCTTCCTTGTCAATGGTCGTTGTTTAAGAGGTTTGCCGCGGTGTATAGCAAATTGTGCGTTTCGCGTCTGTAACTTGAACAAAGTGGATTTTTTATAATAATATTTTGTTTAGATTTGAACACGTAGCAGTTAAATGCTTTAAAATAATAATGTTATAATAAAAAATCTTCAACAAAGGATGGTTATCTAAGGGCGTGCGCTGCGTTAAGCGAGAACACGGAACGGACGTTCCTTACGGGTAGGGCTGCCATCCGTCCGGGTTTCCCCGGATTTGTCCTAGTTTACGGGGCGTCCGGGGAGCGTCCGGGCGGGGTTTTATTTGTCGTCCGGGTTTAAAAATTTACGGCAACGCATGAGTGGCCCTAGGTGCTGCAAGTGTCCATGGGCAGCAGTGACCACTTATTATGAGGTAGACCGCTAGCTCTTTTGCCTAGATCAACATAAAAAAGTTAATTTGTGACATTTTTAACTGTTTTTTTATTGGTCTGTCCGGGTTCTGGGCTTCAAAATCCGGGGTTATCACGCGTCTTATCCTGGTTGCTACATTTTAGAGATGGCAGCCCTACCTACGGGTGCAGTTTCTTGTTAGTGCTTCTACTCGGTGCAAGTAACTAGTGAATATTTAGGCACTTGCGCAGGTTATATGCACCGCGAAATCACTGTGCAAAGATGTGTGCGGGTCGTATGACTTTAGCATGTCCCATAGCCATATACAGTGGATCCCCGGTAGTCCGACAAACATTTTGCAGGGCAGTGTCGAACTATCGAATTTGTCGGATTATAGAGTACTGCCTAAGACCCCCTATAGTCCGTTTTTTTCTACAAAAGAGTACCTTGTAATCCGACCAATTACAGATCCAATGATAAGATTACAAATCATACTTTGTTATGTATGTCAATTAAACAACACAATAGAAAGATTACGTTTTATTATAAAAGTAACGTCAGTAATGCTATAGATTTTACAAAAAAATATAAAAAACAATACCCTACGCGTCGAGCACAATAGTGATGGGGCGTACAAGTTGTAACTTGTTCAATCGTGAATTAGCGAATACATGTATGTAATAGACGATGTCGGATTATAGGGGGTGCCGCATTAGCCAGGGGCCGGATTACCGGGGCTCCACTGTACTATTTTTGTAATAAAATATGAATATGTTATGGAGGAGCAGAGTCACCTGGCACTAGCATTGATTTGCTTAAAAGGAGACTCCTGCCAATATGTATGGTAAACTCTTATACTGATATTATTTGACGACTGCCGTGGCCGAGTGGTTTGTACGCCGAGTTTCATGGTGTCGCCGACTCGAGAGGTCCCGGGCTCGAATCCCGGTGGGGGCAGATGTTTGTGTGATGAACATGAGCATTTGTACTCCAGTCATGGATGTTTAATATGTATTTCTATATATATATACTTATATATGTACAGTATTATGTATTCTATCCGTTACCCTAGCATCCCATAACACAAGACTTATAGTGCTTGGGTACTTTGGGGCTAGGCTAATTGGTGTGTGTTGGAAATATTTGATATTATTATTTATTTATTTATTATAGGAAGCTACCTGCGCGCGCAGGTCACTAGCATGTTACTTGAGCAGATTTAGACGTGCGTAGGTAGGATAGGTTCATAACTTGTGCGTACTAAGTATCCCGTGTCTTTACTTGCTCTTGCGCTTGAGTAGTGTGCACTAGCTAAATGTAATTTGTACATATAGCTAGTGCACACTACTCAAGCGAGTAACCCGCATCTTTACTTGCTCCATTTATTTGCACCGTGTAGAAAATAAAATGACGCGGAGTGGACATCCGCTCCGTGCACCCGCTTAATGCAGCGCAAGCCACTTAATCTTAAAATTTATTATTTCTCGCAAAATCCGCTTCTTTACATGCATCGTGTAGAAGCACCCATATCATAGAGCAGCGGGTTGTTCTTTAGTATGACGCGGAGCGGACGTCCCCTCCGTGCTCCCGCTTAACGCAGCGCAGTCTCCATAATCTTAAAATTTCATAATTTTCGGCAAATGTATTTACATGTTTATAACATTCCCAAGGTTGTTCACAGGAAAAAGTGGAATGGGTGTTTATGGTGATATTCACGGGGGAGTGCATCATGAAGATCATAGCGTACGGCCTCCTGCTCCACCCGGGTGCTTATTTAAGGAACACCTGGAACGGCCTGGACTTCACCATTGTCACTATTGGGTGAGACACTTTCATCTATAGTGTGTTTTAGTTAATATAATATATACATCAAAAAAGACTAGCAACACTCATTATTATAAAAAAAAAATATTAACTGAATAGATTTCGTGTACGTTTTTCTAATCAATACTTCTATACTAATATTATAAAGCTGCAGAGTTTGTTTGTTTGTTTGTTTGAACGCGCTAATCTCTGGAACTACTGGTCCGATTTGAATGATTCTTTCAGTGTTGGGTAGTCCATTTATCGAGGAAGGCTATAGGCTATATTTTTTTTTTCAAAATTAGGGATCCGTAATAAAATTGCTATTTTGTAACACAAGATGTAAAATCGAAAACCTATTTTTGCGTGCGCTGCAAAAACTATTGACAATAGAAAAAAATGATGTACTACGGGTTTGTAGATCCCATTAAGACCTACAAAAAAGTTCGCTAGATCATATATTTAGCTATCATGGTTTAATCACAATAACCGATTTTGTGTTCAAAATAATTATTAAATCGTCTGAAGAAAAAAAAACTACGTTAAATATGTATCGTAATATTAACCTTTATCGAAATTAAGCATTATGCTATCAAGAGTATTTGTATAGAAGTAAAATAGTTTTTGTTTCATCTCAATCGGATATTTCGTTTAAAAGTTATCACGTGTGTAAGATTTTGTACCTATTAATGAGTTATGGGCCATAGAGTTTTATATCAACATAAAATCCTGTTAAGTTATTGTCATAATAAAATAAATTATGTGAAATCAATGAAACAATTAATAATGTCATATCATTCCAAGAATTAAAGAGATTAATGTCAATTACTAATATTATAAAGGCGAAAGTTTGTGAGTGTATGAGTGTGTATGTTTGTTACTTCTTCAGGTCTAAACGGCTGGGGCGACTTTAATAAAATTTGGTATAGAGTTAGCTGACACCCTGGATTAACACATAGACTATGTTTTACTGCGGGAAAATATCCCTAATAATCCGCGGGTAACACCGCGGGGCACAGCTAGTAATTAATACTTTGAGTGACAAAAATTTCAGCTCGCTACACAACCACAGCTAATGGAAAGCTGAGCCCAATATTCTTATACTAAGTGCACATGCAGCGTGTTTGAATGTCAAATTGTGACTAAAGCGAAATGTGATCATGCACCAAAATTTAAGCGGATCACTTGTGAGCCGCGAGTGCCGTATCATCTCTTTTTGTTAAATCTAAAACTTTGACTAAAGTTGACTTTACTGATTAGTGATTAGGTATATATTCTAATAAACTTTGGAAAAAAAATACGGTGTTTTTGTACGGAGAATTGTAATATTTCAGATTTAAACTTTGATATTTTGGTAATCTTATGTTTTTCTATCCACAGTATTGTGTCCATGGTGCTACCATACTTTTCTGCAGACAGTTTTGACGTCAAAGCCTTGAGAGCTTTCAGAGTTTTGCGTCCACTACGACTGGTATCAGGAGTGCCAAGTGAGTATGGCTAGCAATAAGTATGTAAGCGTAAGTGACCACAACCACAAAACGCTGCCACCGGCACATTTCTTGTAGTTTTCATACATTTTATATGGACTCGCCACACACGGTACGCCGGTGGCCGCCACACGCTAGAAATCGTCGTTGCTCGCTTCTTGTGGCCCGCACCGGCCACTTAATGCGCCGATACAAAACGCCGCCACACGTCACTCGCGCGATTCCCCACCCCTCTCTCCCTTACCTTAGTCGGCCGCTGTCACGCGCTTCAGCCACTTTAGTAGCCGCTTCTAGCTTCTCGTGGCGGCGTTTGTGGCTGTGGCGTGTGGCCCGTGTGCGGCGACACTAAGTCGGATTTAACAAATGTTTCATCAAAATTAGATAAAAAGTAATGATTGATAAAAAATAAAAAAACAGGAGGACTTGCCGATTTCCGATCGTAAATTTTAGTCGACTAGAAATATAATCAAAACAGCATTTGAGTTAAATGAACAAAAGTCGGCATAAAAAGGCTAAGCAAATTTTTTTTTATACCATTAAACAATATAATTATGATGAAAATAATAATTATACAAAATAAAAGCAGACATAAAGAAAATAATATTTCAAATTACAATTTTTTGATTATTACAATTAATAAGTATTTACAATTAAAAGAAAAAAATGCAAATTCACTATGTCAAATTGGAGAAAATTCATATAAAAAATAAATAAATAAACATGTCAACCTAATCCTGTCTCATAAATTCGTCAACGCTGTAATAACATTTCTTCAACAAGAAGTCCCTCAATTTTTTTGAAAAGTTTTGTAGTCAATAATCGATTTCAAACTGATTGGAAGCCTATTAAACATTTCGATCGCCTGGTACCTATAGCCATGTTTAACAACCTTAAGTTTAGGTTCGATCAGATGTGGTAGATCCATTCTGCGTGTTTTCAAACGCCTTTCCCTGTCTATTGGCGTTTCAAAAGTTTCCGATTTTTTTGCGAAGTTGCACAAAACTATTAATATACAGGGTGTTACAAAAATACAAATAAAGCTTGAAGGGCGTCGAAGTTAATCATATAAGGAGTCTTCTTTATTTTTTTAAAAATATTTACATGAATTTTTAACTTTATATAAAACAGTTATTTTTAATGATCCTCGAACTAGTGACGTGTCTTAAAATTATCGATATTTTTATTAATCATTAATAATAACTGTATTTATAAAAAAGTTAAAACTTCATGCAAATATTTTAAGAAAATTAGAGAAGACTCCTTATATGATGTACTTCAACGCCTATCAAGCTTTATTTGTATTTTTGTAACAGCCTGTATAAAGAAAAGGAACAGTTAAAATTTTCAATTTCACGAAATATTCTCTACATGATTCCTATTGTGGAATACGGACTACAGTTCTGATAGCTCTTTTTTGTAACACAAAAGCTCTCTGTATATTAAATTTATATGAATTGCCCCAAATACATTATTCTTTGCTTATTAATAAGGGAGATGAACTTTCAGTACATTTGGTCAGTCAATTACTAAAATTGGGTATTTACTTAATATGACTAGTCAAATTAGAATAGCATTACATTATTAAAGTATTTACAAACAAATCTTTCTAAGTGACGCATGAAAATTCTACAATTCTCACAGCTTATATTAAAATCTGTATTAATGTTATAAATGCGGAAGTGTGTTTGTCTGTCTGTTACCACTTCACGCTTTAAACCGCTGGCCGATTTACATGAAATTTTATATAGACTCTAGCTGACAAAGCGAACTTGGTACCGTCAAAAAATTGGGGTTGAATGTCTTTTTAAAGCCACATTAAAAAAAAATGTGATAAAAAAAATTAGAAGTGGACCTTTGTCACTTAAGGGTATGAAAAATAGATAGTAGCCGATTCTCAGACTTACCGAATATGCATATAAAATTTTATAAAAATCGATCAAACCGATTCGGAGGAGTATAGTAACTAAAATTGTGACACGAGAATTTTATATTATACTAGCTGACCCAGCGAACTTCATATCGCCATAAAAATAAGGGTGAGAATTTAGAGGTGTATGTATTTTTAATGCCACATTATAAAAAAATAAACCAAAATCTTTAAAAATGTTAGGGGTGGACAACCCTTATCACTCAGGGGTATGAAAAATAGATAGTAGCCGATTCTCAGACCTAGTGAATATGCTTATAAAGTTTCATAAAAATCGGTCAAGCTATTTCGGAGGAGTATGGTAACTAACATTGTGACACGAGAATTTTGTATATAAGATATTATAATACATAGTTTGAGTCCTGTGAGAGGACATAGAGTAGTTTTTATTCCAGAATTCATCCGTTAAAAAGGTGAAAACAGGTCTGGAAGTTTATTTGGGTTTTGAGAAACCAATTGACCCACACAGATGAACACAATGAACAGAGCACCCGTAAGTTGCCATAAAAGATTATTGTTGAACTTCACAGGTCTTCAGATCGTGCTGAACTCAATTTTGAAGGCTATGATACCGCTGTTCCACATCGCCTTCCTGGTGTTGTTCGTCATCATCATTTACGCCATCATCGGCCTCGAGTTGTTCTCCGGAGTGCTTCACGAGACCTGTTATACAGGTAACCATTAATGTACCTACTGCTGGTCTGTAAGGATACTGACCACGCCTGTCCACTGCAGATTGCTGGGTAGCTACAGATTCAGTCGGGAACGGCTTAACGTACATTCTGAAAAAGGATGGAGTTCGAAAAAATATTTTGGTCAGTTACTCTTGATCAGGCGCTTGCTACAGTACCGAAACATCGGGGAATCACAAAAAACAAGGTACACCGTAACAAGCCCGTTAATAACTATAATGTTAGTGACCATTAAAATATAAAACAATATAAATATATTTTGGTCGTCCATCCAATTTCAGACTTAGTGAAAGTCGCTTTGTTTTATCAATGGCAGACTGAACACAGAAATACCCTTGAGCTGAACAAAGAGAAAAAAAGCAATTCTTGGAAATATGCTATATTCTCTCTGGATCTCTTCATTTTATCGTCTCTTTGCTTTCTCTCTCTTTCATTCTTATTGTAGCTGACTATAATTTGTATTAAATCGGAGCTATTTATCTCTAGACATCGTTTTAATTTTTTAACCACAAGATTTCAAATATTCTTTCATGTTAAAACTTAGATATAAATAATTACAATAAATAGCTTATATTTCGCAGATGAGACTGAGAACTCCGGAAATCCGTGTAACAGCGACGGTGACGTTGGCTACAAGTGTGAGCCTGACGAAACTTGCAGGGGACCTTGGATGGGCCCCAATTTTGGCATCACCAACTTCGATCATATTGGCTACTCCATGCTCACTGTCTTCCAATGCATTACTCTTGAAGGATGGACGGACATCATGTATGCTGTATGTTTTGTTTTCAACATTTTTGTTATAACCATCAGGTTTTATAGCTACTGCACCAACTATCTTCGCGTCAGGACTTTATCACCACTTAACATTACGTGGGGTAGAGTTCATTTTCCTACCTAGCTATAAAAAAGAACATCAGGTTATGTGGTCATCATCTTCGACGTCAGTTTATTATTGTCTCTACTAATGGGACATAGGATTATGTATGGGTGGAGTAGTGAGACCAGATGGTATCACATTACACTGTTCAGTATGGATTGGTGGGTGGTGGCACACGGAGGAGCTCAAGAAAATATTTTTGTTGATTAACAGTCTTATCCCATGGCTAGGTAATATAATATATTTGCAAAAAAAAACTGAACTTCCACACTCGCAGACCAAACGCAATACGCTACGCTGTACTGCGGTGTAGGTACTTTCATTATTAAGTGACTAGATAATACTGGGTACTGAAAGTTCTGATTTTTTTATTTGTTTTTGGCTTTGTCATTTTGTTTTACTTTTAGATAGCCGATGTCAAGGGAAACACATGGGCCTGGATTTATTTCGTAACGTTGGTCATATTTGGAAACTTCTTCGTCATGAACCTCATTCTTGGTGTGTTGTCTGGGTATGTTGATGTAGATTCCATGATCATTATTCATTTATTATAAAGATGAAATGTAATTTTCTTACGTCATTATGAAAATTAAAATTATTGTTTTATTATTTGCCAGTGAGTTTTCAAAAGAAAGAGAAAAGGCGAAAAATCGCGGTGATTTCCAAAAGTCACGTGAAAGACAGCAATTTGAAGAGGACTTGAAAGGTTACCTCAATTGGATAACCGTAGCTGAAGAATTAGATCTAGAAAATGATCAGGCTCAAAAGGAAGACGACGAAACTTCTCAGGGTATCTATTACACAAATAACAATTTTATTTACATATGTTAATAGTGAAGAAATTTCAGCTAATATAGCACTTAGGTTAATTACAATATTTATTTTACTACCCACAGGTAAAAAAGACAGAAAAAGTAATGATGGATCTCAAAATAATTTAAATGGTATGAATGGCGATCAGGTTCAAAGTACGACGTGTAAAGTATACTGTAGGAGGTTTGACAAGGTAATGTATTCGGGCCTCATTTCTTTCTTGATTCCTATTGAAATTATCAACTACTTTTATACTATGTATTTCTCATTTTTTTATAAGGTAACTAAATTTATGATTATCAACAAATTGATTTCTAGGTAAATCGGAGATTAAGAAGAGCTTGCAGAAAAGGTGTCAAATCCCAAACATTCTATTGGGCTATTATTGTTCTTGTCTTCCTTAACACATTAGTCTTAGCTACTGAGCATCATAAGTAAGTAATTACTATGCATAAAAACTTTGTAGTATTTTTCATATTCGTGTAAAAATATGTTTTGACTGAATGTTGTACACATGTAATTTTAATCGATAAGAATGTATTTGATATATGCTTAGCAAAAACACTGATTATTATTTATTGTTAATAATGAATTATATCTTATATTTTCTTTCAGTCAACCGAAATGGTTGGATCATTTCCAAAATTATGCTAATTATTTGTTCGTCGTTCTATTCACTATGGAAATGTTGGTTAAAATGTATGCACTTGGATTTCAAGTAAGTTCATAATACACCATAGCTCTTTGACATGTTTTTATTTTTTCATTTATATTTTAATTCTTTTTCCAGGGATACTTCGTATCATTATTCAACCGTTTTGACTGCTTCGTCATGTTGTGTTCAATAGTAGAACTGGCCCTCACTATGACGGACACTATCCCACAGTTGGGTATATCTGTGTTGAGATGCGTCCGGTTGCTCAGGGTTTTCAAAGTTACCAAGTAAGTCCTTGAATACAAACTCATCCGTCTCAATGTCTTTCTATTTCTCGAAGACACTCCAACAGATTATGTTGTATATCTGTCTGTCTACCTCTGTAGCTGAAAATCTTGAAGATCTAAGTCGATCTATCCAATCTGTGGATGCAAGATATTTTATATGGATTCTTAAATGTCCGGCTTCGATAAATTTGTAGCATCTTAGCTCTTCGCGAAATGCTAACCGTTAATTTTATCACGTAAAAAGAAAGCTTCTGATTACCACGGCTTCCATTTGTTATTTAAAAAAAATATGTATAACGGGTAAAAAGCGGATATTTATAAGTGCAGATACATCTAGGGCGAATGGCTTATCGGGATTTTCACGGCACGGAGAAGCTCCATACGTATACTTGAATTTATGATTTTTTTTAAATCCATACTATTTTTCAAGCACAATAAAAATATTTCAGGTATTGGCGATCACTCTCCAACCTGGTCGCTTCCCTTCTCAACTCCATTCAGTCCATCTTCTCTCTTCTTCTACTTCTGTTCTTGTTCATCATGATCTTCGCGTTGCTCGGGATGCAGGTGTTCGGAGGCAAGTTCGACTACGAACCCGAGGAACAGAAAGAGAGACACAATTTCGACTCTTTCTGGCAGGCTGTATTGACAATGTTTCAGGTTGGATCAGATACAAATAAGTATTTATCATTAAATTGTTTACACACTTAGGTAATGTCATTTCGTAATTTGGATTGATATTGTTTGGTTACGTTTAGTTTGTTATAAAATTTTATGCCGCGTATTTGACGATGATTCAATAAAGAAGGTAAACTTCACTTGGCTTATACAAGTAGTATTCTTTAAAACGATAATGATAGTTAAACGTTCCAAGATAAGCAATAAACAATGTAGTCATGTATCACAATTGTATCCAATGTTGCATTGATTGAACTAAGTTTTTGCTTTTCTAACACGAGTATTAACAGGTTTTTGAATTTTGTATGTTTTGTTTTGTAATTTTCAGATCCTCACCGGTGAAGATTGGAATGTCGTAATGTACCACGGTATCAACGCGTACGGAGGCGCAGGCACAGCGGGAATGCTCGCATCCATTTACTTCATCGTCATCTTTGTCTGTGGCAACTGTATCCTTTTCATTTAATTATGATTTGAGTGTCGATAATTGTTATTTGTGGATAGAAATTGGTATACTATTGTTTGGTATGACTCTACAATCTACATTTATGTTTTTTTTGTTCACTATCCGTAGACTTCATTAAGGGGATATTATATTACAAATAACATTTACATTTTATATTAAAATAGGCATTTGAAAAACGTGAATTATAAATTTTAGAAAATATATATAAATATGCTTTTTTCCAAAATAGACAAAGAAATTTCTGAAAAAAAATATAATCATAGCATGAAAATGACTTCATTCCTTTTGATAATATCGTAACTTTAATCCCGTTAAACATCATAACAATAATGATTCTTACGAGCGTAATGCAGATATTTTACTAAACGTGTTCTTGGCTATCGCCGTCGACAACTTGGGAGACGCCGAGGAAATGGATGAAATTGAAAAAGAACAGGAGGTCAGTGACCACTCTTTGAATGATCATTTAACGTTTTATCATATTTAAATAGTAACTTCAGTGATAATATAAACTTAGTTCAATTTGTTGATGTCTTTGACATTAATTATAAATATGGCTCGTTAATTAAAAATACCAATATATATATATATATATATATACATATCCTGAAAAATAAATGCTTCCAGGACGCTGAAAATGCTGAAGCTGGCAATCCACAACTAGATGAAGAGAGAGGGGAGACTGATGATGAATATGTGAACGAGGAAGAAGGTTATTCTAGTGAAGGGTATGTAGTGATTATTAGTTATTTGTATTGTAACTAACAGTAAATGATTGTAATTTTATTTTTTTATTTTAATATAAATTCTGATTTTGAAATAGCCGGCCGTATAAAAGATATAGGAGAGTAGCGAGGTCTGTATGTTTATGATAATGAAATATCGAAAAAAAGCTTAGTCGTCAAATTACGTCAATAATTATTGTTTGTTGATTTCTTAGATCTGAGCATGAGTATGAAGAGACTGGATCAGAAGAAGAAGAAGTTGATGAACAGGAACAAGAAGAAAGAGATAATGCAAACGATGCACTCGTTACGACTGAGAAAATACAGAATGGTACGCAAATCTTGTTACTTTTAAGAAATCATAATATGTCCTATAAACCATGTCACTATTTTTATTAAGAGGTTATTAAAAATAAAATCTTTAAAGATTGAATTATCCCTGGTAAATTTTTAGATGTCATATAAACGGATTCCACTAACAGTTCTTTGAATCAGGATATTCAATTAAATGCACATGTAACTCCTATTCCTAATGCCTTTTTCTTATTTGAAATTCAATCGAAGATCTATGTTAATTAACGTATACATACACATTGTTCATAATAGGTGATATTAAAAAAGAAGAACAGGAGGCAATAAAGCGACAACCGACAATATCAGCTCGACCACGACGGCTTTCAGAAGTGGAAATAAAGTCCCAGGAGAAGCCAATTCCTGATGGCAGTAGTTTCTTTTTATTCTCAAAGACAAACGGGTAAGAAATACAATCAAATTAGTGTCTATTGCAAGAAAAAAAGTGGACAAGTCTTGACTGGTCTAATTTGGTTTGGTTGTTACAAACAAATTAAACCCAGTCGGAGTAGTAATTAAAAGTACAGAGGAGCTAGAGATAAGAGTTGAATATTCATTATTAATATAATATTAAAATATACCTATTTTGTAATTATAATTATAAAAACTAAAATGATTTGATTGCTCGTTAATTACAGATTTCGGGTGTACTGCTACAAAATCCAAAATAATTCATGGTTCAAAAACTTGATTCTGCTGTGCATTTTGGCCTCATCCCTCATGTTGGCTATGGAAGATCCAGTCGGAGGAAAAGCCAATGCTGACAAGAATGATGTAAGATTTAACCGTTCTGATAAGATTTTGTCAATGAATATAATTTAATTTTTTGCACCGCCATTATTCATTCTTAAAATAACGTTTTTATTTTCACCAGACTCTCCGCAAGATAGATTACTTCTTCACAGCAGTATTCACCGTCGAGCTTGTATTGAAGTTGATCACCTACGGATTCATTTTACATAAAGATGCCTTCTGCAGATCTGCCTTCAATCTTCTCGATTTGCTTGTTGTCATCGTTTCCTTGGTGTCTTTGGCAGGGTAAGTTTTTAAATCTCCCTTAGATTTTTTTTGTAACAATCACTAATATGAATTTTATCTAAGACTCTTTAAAACTTTGTTAAAAGTTTACCTGCATTATGGAAATTTTAGTAGGAAATAAATTCCAACACAATATTAACAGAAATGAGATATCATGATAAATTTATTATTTGTTTGCTTTCCTTACAGGAGTTCGTTTGGCTTTATTAAGATTCTGAGAGTATTCAGAGTGTTGAGGCCTCTCAGAGCCATCAACAGGGCAAAAGGCCTAAAGGTCAGTATTATTTCATTACGAAATTTAACAGTTTTGACGATACAATAATTAATTTTCTATAAAATTCAAAATTAAGTAAAGTATATTTTTATAATTCTAGCACGTAGTTCAGTGCGTCATAGTTGCAATAAAAACGATTGGCAACATTTTGTTGGTGACAAATCTTCTACAGTTCATGTTTGCTGTCATGGGGGTGCAAATGTTCAAGGTAGGGAGAAACTATAAAGATTTTCGGAAAATTATAATTTTCTTTTTGAGTTTAACCGACACCTTTGGGTATATTCTAATTTAACATGACTTTTAAGTAAGTATTCACAACGACTCATCTCTTTGCACTTAAAAAGATCATAAAAGTATTTCACCATCTGATATCGTTTGTGTGTGCAGCTTTTTTCGTATTGGAAAGAATTGAACACTAACATTGGTTTTCTTTGCTTCTTCCCGTGGGTCCAAAAAATTCGCTTCTAGGTTTCGCATGCTTTGATTTTCTCTAAGCCCAAAGGTGTTGTGTGTTGCCCAATTGTCGATTTTTTTTCTGTGAGTTTTTTGGACTCAATTTGAGCTTGTTATTTTATTTATTTTGCACAGTCTACCCTACCTTGACATTTCTATAGGACCGAGGTACTTGGTTTATCGTTTTCGTGTTTTTCCCTCAATTTCCAAACATTACACATCCAAATTAAGTCAGATCAGGACACTGGCAAATAAAAAAAAAGTGAATAATATTTCCTCTGTTTTAAAAACCAAGGACTAACGCCGTGTAAGTAGGTCAAGTATTTTGTTTATTAACATTGTCTTTTTTTGCATTTTTACACATTTATGCGGTACACACTACACACATGGAAACGGTCACTTTAACTGTGTTGGGTAAATTTATCGTTGAGTGTTACTAAACTGCAATTGTGTCTAACAGTATGTTGTGAAGTGTGTGATTGCTTCAGTGAGATCCATCGGAAATATTTTCATCATTAATCACATGTTGCAATTTATGTTTTCTGTTGTCGGTATACAATTGTTTAAGGTGTGTAGTTGTTGTTGCATCATTTCAATATTTTCGATTATAAGTTTTCTAATTCATATTAATCAGTAATTAATATTTCTAAAACAATTTCATTATTAAATTTCTTTCTTCTTTACTAGTAAAATGACATGAACTGAGCTCTTAGTTTACACCGGTGATCCCTGCTTTGATAATGATTGAATACCATTAGTACGAAAAGTTTACAATAAATAGTCAATAGTTACTTTTAACAGAAACTTATATTCGAAGAGGAATTTCTTTCATATACTCATATACTAATTACTTCAATGAGTATAAATACTTCTTCATGTTATTTATTCCGTCCTGGATAAGTCCAGGTCTCATCAATCAATTTTTAATACATTTTATTAACTCTTATATTCCTGTTCCTCTTATCTACTCTTTTTCAAGTAACAAGTGACCTACTCCTCCTCTCAATGTTCTTCTTAATTGGTCTCTAAATAAGATCTGTCCGTTTCCTTCTGCCATATAAAGATATTCATAAAATGAACGATCCCTAATTTTTCTAAATGATTCAGTAAATTACAAAGGACTAGAGTTCTTGTAATTTGTAACCTATTTTTGTAAATAATATTTAATCTAGTTAGATCCAAACTATTTATTACCATTTAACATTGTCTTATCTGATACCGTGTCCATTTTTGTTGCAATGTCTTGATGATATACAAATATTGTTGTAACACCATTTGTTTATTGTGCTAAAATCCGTCCATGTGTTAGTTTAGATTGTTCTGTATGATGTCGGGTGTGAAATTTAAACACGATTGCATCTTTGTAAACTTTTCAAATACATTATCCTCTTTAGTTTTCGAGGTTTCGTGTTTGATCCACGGCCAAATCAATATGGGAAAACTAATTTCGTATATTAAATCTGGCTTTGGCGTTTGTGATGGGTCCATTGCGTTTGAAATTTTTGACAAAAGAGATTAAGCTACTCGCCTCTGTGCTCAAGAAGCGTCAATAAAATAAGTTTGTTTAAAATTTTTGATATCATTTCTTTGACAATATTTGACGGTTATACTTATTAGCAACTGTTTTTTATACAAAGCAACAAATTAAAGCATCACCTCGGAAGTCTGGACGCAATCCCCTACCCCGGGGAACCCTTTAACCCTTACTCATTAGCAGAAACTTAATGAAATTAAAGTCAATATTAAGTTTACATAAATGCAATCGAGTAAATTAAAAGATTACAGAGTTATGTTTTGAGAGTGAAAATAGACATACATGAATGATACTTTGCTGATTTTTTCATAAAAAAATATCCTGTTTTGTTTTCTATATTTTCTCGTGATTTCAGGGAAAGTTTTCTAAATGTAGCGATATCACGAAAGTTACACAGGACGAATGCCAGTAAGTAATAGTTATTTGTCATCGATTTTACTAAAATAAAATTCAGTATTGATTGCAATGTAATTACTTACTGCTTTGAAACAATTTGATTGGATAATGTAAAGTGTATTAAAAATAAAATTTAAAAAGTCACGGTTCGGTGGCAAAACATTTAAAAATCTTTTGATGAAAAATTTCATCAGTATCTGTTTTTTTTCCAAAGGAAAATAGGTATTCAAATTATTCTTAAAAATAGTAACTGAATTTTTGAACATTTTTGATGATCATTTAAATATGAGCCTTTTCTAAATACGCGTAATATAACTTAGGTATTCCCCTGGTATGTGTAAACGACGGATTTCTGTTTACGTCAAAACACCCATGTCTGTGAAAGTGGCGGATTTCTTCCACGTATACACAGTATAATATTTAGATATATGTAAAAAAGATAAATAGAAATAGATGCAGAAACTATTTAAGATTGATTTAAGACACAAATGAAGATAAAAGGTTCAGTAGAACTTGAAATAAATCAGTTTTTGTGAAGCGAGGGAACCAAAAGGGTTTGACGGCCATTTTTTACACAGATGAGGGGTAAACTTTCTTACACAGATGAGGGATAAACTTTCTTACACAGATGAGGGGTAAAATTTCTTACACAGGTGAGGGGTAATTTATTTAATGTAATTTAGCCTTATTTTTCCATGTGATGATTCCAGAGGCTCATATCTAGTGTATACCAACGGAAAACCTACAATAGAGGACAGGATATGGTCCGTGAACAAGTTTAACTTCGATGATGTGCTCAGCGGTATGCTGACACTGTTTACAGTGTCCACCTTCGAGGGGTGGCCGGGGTATGTTTGAAATTCCTTTTCATAAGTTTAAGCTCCCTTGTTAAGAGCCTTGCTAAGTGCTAAGTGTTACTTACTGACTTTAAAAGTAGGTAGAGACCCAGATTACTACGTGATAGTAATCTGGGTCTCTACCTACTTTTAAAGTTGACTTTTCACAAAAACTATTTAATGCTGCTGCAGGAACACTAAAAACCGCCATAAAAATATTTAATTCCACCAGAAGCCTAAAGTTTGACTTCGAATCTTGCAATCATTAGAAGTGACCAAAGAAGTAAAATGATGCTATCTTTTGATAGTTCTGTGTGTCTGGATTGGAGCGGCTGACTTTTCTACAAAAATATATCTTAGGACTAGATTTACTGTCACTTATGAAAAATATTCTTCGCGTTGGATGGGTTACCAAAAAATTACTACCTTGAGCTCCTCCATGCTCCGGAAGGCACGTTAAGCCGTTGATCCTGGCTGCATTTGCAGTCGTTAGCACCTACCAATGGGCCCATGTGGTGGGTTATGGCCCAATCTACCTATTCCATCCATAGTGAAAGTCCATGCCCCAGCAGTAGGGATATTAATAGGCTGATGATGATGATGCTAAATATCAAGACGTGTGGTGGGATGATTCACTTATATTAAACGGGCATTGGGATTATCAGTGAAAAAATTATAGTAGTTATTACTAACTCCATCTATGTTAAAGTTATGAAGTAATTTGACTCTCATTGCCAATTTTAGGGCGCAACATTGCTATGTGAAACAAGATGTTTGATACGAGTATATAATTGAACGGAAACATTGTGTATAGCATGATATTGTAAGATTTGTGTTTATTTTTTCAGTTTATTGTCTACTTCAATGGATTCGAACGAAGAAAACCACGGCCCAATAGAGAATTCCAGACCTCTAGTGGCGTTCTTCTATATCAGTTACATTATAGTTATTGCGTTTTTCATGGTGAGTCGAAAGCATTTGCCAGAACTTATTTAAAAACTGCCTAAAAATAAGTCAGAAAGCACTTTTGGGAAGGCAGATGTCACTACTGTTGCGTTTACGTCTTATTTTCAAAGCTACTCGATAGATGGCAATGTTTGCATCATTTATAGTTAAAGCAAATCATATACCTACTCGGTGTAGATTGGATGAAGGACTATTTATATGAATTACTGTAATAACTATTTACGATGTTTTATAATAATGGAAAACATCTCAAGATTAATTTTATCAGAAAAATAAAATAAAGTTTCCTTGACATGGATTTTTCTTCTCGTCTTCCTGTTAATGTTTAGTCTTTCCAGATTCATATTTCTATTCACGTAATGATGTTTAAAATTCGAAGTTTAAATAAAAATACTGTTGGCTTCCAGGTGAATATTTTCGTAGGTTTCGTCATAGTAACATTCCAGAAAGAGGGAGAACAGGAGTTCAAAGATTGCGAACTGGACAAGAACCAGAGAAACTGTATCGAGTTCGCTTTGAAAGCGAAACCTATCAGAAGGTAAACTATATAATAAATTACGAAAGAAAATTACGAATGCCAGACTTTACTAAACTTTTAATTGGTTAAAATGTGGAACACATAACCCAATAGAAAACTATGGTCTTAGCAGAGACACAGGGGAACAACCAGTTGAAATCTTGAAAATCAAACACACGTCCTGGGGCCCATTCGCCTAACAGAAATGCTATGGAAAACGCTAACGTTTACGATGTCATTTTGTTATTTCTAGCCGCCTGAGGTTTTCAAATGCCTCGTGCTTTTTTTTTTCTTTTGCATTGGTAATAATAATATTAAAAAAAATAGCGTGAGGTGTTTGAAAAGTCGGTCAGAAATAACAAAATAAAATCGAAAGCGTTAGCGTTTTCCAAAGCATTTCCGTTAGGCGAGTGGCCCCCTGATACTTTGGTATATTTTTTCCCATCAATTAAATATATGTGCAATGTGTCAAGCCCACAGTGTGGCAGATTACATAAACTTTACAGCCAGTATGGCACACCATGCATCCTCCAACAGTTACAGAATGGGATGGAACATGGCGGCGATCCTATTTGCCCTTTAAATTTTCACTCGCAAAAAAGATCTGCCTGTATTGGGAGATCCCTGCATAGACAGTGATACATTTATACGGAATATACTCATAATGTGGTCTCATGATCTCATCACGGTTTTGTGGGAGCAAATGTAGACAAACAGCTAAACACCTTGACACGAATCTGTCTATGCCAGCCTTTGTGTTCGTCTTCGAACATTGGCCTCCTCTTCAACTTTCCACCGACTTCTGTCCCCGGGCATTTGCATCCAGTTAATTCCAGCCTGTTGCCGGATATCATCTGTCCATCTCTTAGGTGATTTTCCTCTGCCGCGGCTGTCATTGCGGGGTCTCCACTCTAGGGTCTTTCTGGCCCAGCGCTTGTGGTTCATTCGATCTCCATTTACGTCTCTTAATCTCTTCTACCACGCCACCGAACCCTGTCCTTTCTCTAATCCACTCATTTCTCTTGCGATCTTGTAGAGGAACGCCAAGTATCTCACTCCATTGCTCGTTGTGCAATGCGGAGTCTCTCAGCAGATTATTTTGTCAGCGTCGTGGTTTCCATCCTATACACGAAGACCGGCAGAAAACACTGAGTGAACACCTTGGTTCTTCCAGCATATAACATGCTTGTTTGCCCTGAATGCTCCCCAGGCTTGCCCGATGCTTCTTCCTATTTCCGAAATCTGATATTCGGAACGAAGAGTATGAAGGAGATGCTCATGCCACAGAATATTCCGCCACACATTCCGTGCTCTGCCGCCTCGGTCTGGAATTGCTTATTTGGGGGAGGTTTTCCCTTATCCGCAGCTATCCTACATACTATACGATTGTATCGACCTGTGATCCGTCAAGTAGCTGAATCTCGCCCTTGATCACGACACGAATCACAGAGCCCAAAATACATAGTTACAGTTTATTATATAGAACGCACATTAGCCAAAATCCTCCTTACCTTTCTATTCTTTTATTTTTTCCTTGATTATTTTTTCTTCTAGCCAGAGAAATACTGATGACGACTAACTTTTTTTTCTTCATGTATCATGTAGATTATCAAAAAGTATTGGACACATATTTTTTTATTCATATTATTAAGTATTTTTTATTTATTACAGATTTAAATTGATTTCAAATGTCGCATGACGTCAAGTTTCGGTACAATACTTACTTAATTATGACGTCACGAGCCCCCACTCTCAAACTTTGATGCGCTTTATCTTTGCCATTTTTCTTTGATTGATCAGAGAAAAAATACATGCCGATTATATTTTGATAATGTAACTCGCGGACTTAAAAGAATTTCATTTAATTTACTTCATCGTCATTCCTATTATTAACATGATGAATATAATATCTACAAGTTTTCATGGCAAATTGATTTTGGGCTTAAATAAAAAATGTTTTGTCTACTCTGAAGCTACAACTAACAGTCCATAGATTGATTAGTTCCATAGTCAATTTTAGCTTAGCTAGACTCATTCTCGTTAAAGCTCATTTTATGATTTCTTCTTAGGTATATTCCTAAGCATCGAATTCAGTACAAGACATGGTGGTTCGTGACATCACAGCGCTTTGAATACTTCATATTCTTCTTCATCGTGCTGAACACTGTCGCTCTCATGATGAAGTTCCATGAGGCACCAGCTGAGTATAAGAAAGTGAGCTTAAATATAACAGAAAATATTAAAATTTAGTTATTTGTTGTAAGTTAGATTATCATTAAAAAATATACTAATTTTTTAACCGAGATAATGAGATCGGATAGTTATTTTATTCCCACATCTAAACAAAATGTTATAACAAAAGGTATACTCGATCCAGGATTCATAAAGGTTAATTTCTTGTGTTTTAATTTCTTTCAGATACTCGACAATCTTAATATGGCATTGACAACAGTGTTCATGCTTGAGTTTGTGTTTAAGTTGGCTGCATTCAGGTTTAAGGTAACTGAATATATGTCTTATTACAATCTTATTTTGTTTAAAATGCATTTCATAATTGCAATGTTTTGTTATCTTCCATTTTGTATTTATATTGCAGAACTACTTTGGTGACGCTTGGAATACGACAGATTTCATATTGGTAGTAGGGAGTATTATAGATATTGTAGTCACACAAGTGAATGAGAATAAAAATAAACCAGAGGTAATTAGTATTTAAGTTTAGTTCCTTTTTAAAAAATCGCAAAATCCCAGGTTTGACTTATCTATTTTTGCTTTACAGTTAGAGCAAGTAATTATTCCATTGAAGAAAACTGATGAGGTAAGAGATTTCAAATATCTACTTCAGTAATTTATTACTTGCGAGATAAAGAAAAACTGGAGTTTATTCTTCAAAACAAAAGCTATTCTTTCTACTAACTATAGTTTATTCAATGATTAAGAATTTTTGAGTTTAATTTACACTACCGCTTGATGTTTTATTAATCTGAAGGAACACTATTTATCTTCTTGTCCTTAATTCTGTCCTTGTCCTTTTCATTTTTTCTCTTCTCGTCGTCTATATTATATGTGTGTATTTATTTATGTATTATCAATAATATCATATTCGTATGTGTATGTATTTATTCATTATTTATGTACTTGTATATAAGTTCCCATATTTATAAGTATTTAACATGTATGTATATTCAGGTGTACACGCTGTTTTTTCTTATATTCTTTCCTACTACAGGCCTACTGTAAGAAAAAAGTTGTGTCCTTTTACATGTATCTTTAATTAAGTTGCTCCTGTATCTATATTTGTCTGTACAGAATATATAAATAAATAACTCTCAAGTCCTTTCATAAGCTTCTTCTTGAGACATTTGGTGTATTTCGTGTTCATCTTTTGTTGCACAAATAAGCTGTTTATTTGACTTCCGTGGCTAATTTTAATGTTATTAATACACCGAACACCACAGAGTTGTTGGGTTCTGCGGACATATTGGTCCATATTTTTGTTAGTATTTTATGTTTTTCTTAGCATGAACTCTTAAATATTACTAATAACTATATGCCACAATGAATGCTCGCAATAGTAGGATAATTTTATGCTTATAACATTAGCGAATAACAAATGACGAATTTTTTTCAGGGTACACTATTGAAATACATAACGTTCTTTCGATTGTTTCGAGCGATGCGTTTGATAAAGCTGCTATCGAGAGGAGAGAGAATTCGGACGTTACTGTGGACTTTCATCAAATCGTTCCAGGCTCTGCCTTATGTAGCCTTGCTGATTGTTCTGCTGTTCTTCATATACGCTGTAGTTGGGATGCAGGTTACGAAACATTTTTATTTTGAAATTTAAGCTGTTTTGTTTTAAACTTATACCTATTTTACAAAAGGTTAACTATGTAAGCCCTTAGCTTAGCTTAGCATAGGCTAAGCTAACATATTTGTTGACCTAAGAGAATGCCAAGTCTAGCTTTAGTCCACGTTTGGTATTAAGGAAGATATTTGATATTTTAAGACTTTTGAGTCAATAGCTAATTCTATTTTTGTTATCACCTGGTTTTCCTATTTTTACATTTTACTGTAAATCGACAAAAGAATGATATATTTTAAAAAAAAAAATACTTTTCAGCTGTTTGGCAAAATCGCTCTCGACGATGCAGTTATAACGAGGCATAACAATTTTCAAACGTTTGGTAGTGCTCTGATGGTTCTCTTTCGATCGGCAACAGGTAAACAAGTTAACACTCAATATTATTTACTCAATATCATCTATGTAAACAGTGTCGAAAAGAGTGATGACTTGTGTGTGTTTGACGACCTACGTGGTGGATTGGTATGCTCATCAATTTTCTAGATCGCTGGTCCTCGGTTCGAACCCCGGTGGGGAAAATGTTTGTATGATGCATAACTAGCATCTATACTGTGATGTTAAATTCCCCTCTACTGCCCTCTCTTCGCTCACTCAGAGCACCGGGGGAACAATAAAAGAAAACCAAAAAAAATTAAGATAATGTTATAAGTATATTTTATCCACTTTAGATACCAAAGCATAGGAATTCAGTAGTTTTAAGTTATTGCTTATATAAATCAACAAGTCTAACTATGTTTATTATTTATATAATAACTATGTTTCACTAATTATAAATATCTAAGCTGAATACAGTAGTTCAAAGTTAATGTGTATATAAACCAACAAGTTGTCATGAAAGGTTATAATTATATGAATATCAGACATTCATAACACTTTACCATGTACTTACAATATAATCCTTACTAATATATTCTATCCACAAATACCACATAGACTAGACTGAATAAGCTATTGAGTGGATTTCAGAGGTTCTACGGCTCGTTTGATCGATATTGGTGACAAACTGAGTTAATTCTAGTTCTCAGTGAGATAACCAGCTATATAGATATATGTAAATATATGGAAATGGGTAAGTCGGGGTCCAACCTCGCCTGTTGTTTCCTCTCCACGTTCACCCGGGGTTAGTAGAGAAATACCTTGATTATGATAGGTTTAGCTGTGTATAATCTATCTGCTGTTACGGCCGGGTTACATAAAACCGGAGAGCGGCTGGCAAATAAACTCCCGCGTCCCTTCTGGTCCGTGTACAGAACAAAAGTCTCCTTGTTAGTCCTCCAATATTTCTTGAGGGGAACGTACAAGCCGTTCGAAATATGAAACTATCCGTAAGTATTTTGTTTCCTATCACAAGTTACCGCCTTATTATTGCAATCGCCTTGCGAAGGTTCGTGTTCGTCCACGAAACTCAGTTCGGTTAGCGACTCCGCGCTTTTTCCGCCAATATCCCTCGGGATATAAACTTTTCGGATCTATCTCACGACTTCGACGACAATAATATGCCGTTTATTATACTTTGGGCAGAAGAAAAGATGAAAAGTTAACTGTACCACAAACAGATTGTGAAATTTTAAAAGTTGTTTTGACAATTGCTCATAGATGATAGACGGATCGTCTACTCCCAAACATGTGTCTATGATTTGTTTCCCACTTCAACTGAAGGCAAAGGCCACAGTCAAACAGACAGCCGCCGCATTCGAGACGAACCGAAGAATAAACTCAAAACTATATACCTACGCTCGCCGTAAGCTGAGGAAAAGGGAATACCTACCCAAATCAGCGAGGAAATTCAATTTCGAGTAAAATTCAAAATCGATTAAAAACAGCACCCGATAATGAGGACTCAAATCGATCTGGGAAAGACTATTCAAAATTTAACAACTGTCAAACTCCATCCATTCATCCACGCGCCCCCACAGAGATTCCCCGCCTGATTACTTTTTTTTTTTTTTTTTTTTTTTATAAGTCTCAAGGCGAATATTTTAGTCGAATAGGAAAATCGACTCTTCCCTCAAGGCTACCAACCCAATCAATGAAGTTTGACAGCTACGCTGACGTAAGCGGTTCGCTATCATAGACAAAACAGCTGTCCTACGTGTGTCAGTGTCACGCTCTGTTTAAAAACAAACACTACAATACCTTTTTTTTCGATGACGAAGAGAAAAATGTGTATTATATCCACGTCAATTACCGTACTTACCTTAGTAATAGATGTTTAAAATCTATAGTTATCGATGCATACGTTTATTTCGTTACCCTGGTGTCTTATTACACAAGCTTTACAGTGCTTACTTTGGAGCAAGGCTAATAGGCTAGTTGACACTTTCGGAAATATGTTTTAAATGTTTAATAAATAAATTGTTCTATTAGACCGAAAAAAATGTACAATACATGTTTTTGACCCAGAAATCGACAAAACTTTAATTCTAAAATTAATTTTTCATGGACATACAAAAACGCTGTCAGTTATTTCAGTCTATAGATTTCTCTATGCTATGACGTCAATACATTTGTAAAAACCATGATTTCTAATAGATTACATAAAAATATAGTCATTATCATGATTGTATTAAACGAGAATGTAGGAACACATCGTTAAAGACTCCTGAAAGTTGTGGTTTAAATTGCCTTGAGAAATAAACATACCTACACATGAAATGAAAAAATGAATTCTGTAATTTTATCGACTAAATGTCATTTCTTTTTGCAAAGATCACTTCGATGTAAGTACTCCGAAATTCGATACAAATTACGAATGCAAAAACAAAATAATTAAAATAAATACAAAATTACAAATGTCAACAAAAAATTACAAATGTAAATTAATAAAATTACAAATTAAAAATAATTACATTAATAAGTAAGTCATAAATTTTTATTAAATTCTGCAAGTACAGTAGTCCAGTGATTACTTATAGGTCACTCGGACCTACCGCCTACAAACTTCAAGATGCTATTGCTATTGTATTTAACTGATTCAAAGTTTCCACTATGATGATCAGGAGAGGCGTGGCAGGAGATAATGATGGCATTATCAAACAACACACTGGAGCGGCCCGGCAACCCGCCCGGATGCATCGACGCCGACGGCAACACCGACGTTAACGACGGCGGCTGCGGCACCTGGCTCGCCTTTCCCTACTTCATCTCCTTCTCGCTGCTGTGCACTTTCTTGGTGAGTTGCTACTTACTCATCGTCATCACCATCAGCCTATAAATGTTAAGTTTCTATTAGTTTCTTAGGTTTTCACGCCCATCACTCATTAAATAAAACTAGTTTTTACGGGTTAATACACGAAACGTCAATAAATAAATAAAGTTTCGTGCATTAACCCGTAAAAACTAGTTTTATTTAAGTTTCTATTATTTAATATGAACAGTAATTATAATCATGGTTAGATTTGTTTTCTTTTTTTTCGTTTTTTATTTTAGTCTTGTAATTGCACACCCCCCCTTTAATTAAAATTCGTCTCTCCATCCTATGGTTGTCTGGAAGAAATGGCTACATAGCCATAAGATCGCGAATTGTCCACCTATTTAAATTAATGTCCAAACTTTGTACTTTATAATGTGGTGTGTCAATAAAGTATTATCTATCTATCTGTCTATCTATCTATCTATCTAATGTCCCCACTGCTGGGCCAAAGGCCTTCCCTATGGATCGAATAGGTAAATGGACTGTGACGCCCAGTGTGGATTGGTGAATGCTAACGACTGCAGATGTAGCCAGCGCCAACGGACTTAACATGCCTTCCGAAACACGAAGGAACTCTAGACGATAAGTTTCTGGTCACCTATCCAATGACCGACCATTGCGAAAGTTGATTAGCTTTCACGATCGCAGGCCGGATGCGCTAACTATCTGCGCCATCGTACTCCTCCTACCGAGTCAATATAAAGGTAAACAGCTGCGACGTTAAAATTCATAAATAAGTTAATGTAATTAGCTTCCACCCGAAAGCTTAAGTTAAAGTTTTTGTAGTTATAGTAAGATTTCTGAAAATCCCTTGGGGATTAATAAAATGCGGGAGCAAGGGTATCCTATCTCTCAATCTAGGTAATAAAATCTATGTAATGTATTAAGGCTCGCACTCTGAACTCGTTTAATCAAGAGAGAGAGAGTTTAGTTAGAGATCAGGTCCGGAATTATTTCCTGTCCCAACCTTAAAGTTTAACATTTCCTTTCACTGTAATGTTTCATTCATTGATATATCTGTTTTTCTATGTTCTTTCCTTTCGCGGGCCTGCTGGAAGAAATTTTATTATGAAATAAGCAGTGCCCTTGTACATGTCTCTTGTTTCTCTTTTATGTAATATTTTATTGTGTGTGTACAAAATAAATAAATAAAATAAATAAATAAATCTGTTTCCTTTATTATTATTTACTATTACTGTCACACCCCTCCTCTATGCCCTTCTTATTTATTTATTTCTGTTTTATGGGTGACCTGGAAGATATTGTTGCGTAGCAATAAGGCCGCCTATATTGTGTACTTTCTGTCTGTCACGTTTTGTTTCTTTTGTATCCTATGTGGTGTACTACAATAAAGTGTATTATTAATATCTGTGCCAAATTTCATATAGGTATATATGAAAAATAAACTTCAACTGTAAAAGGGTACTCATTATAATGCAATTTCTGTTTTCAGATTATTAATTTATTCGTTGCTGTTATTATGGACAACTTTGACTACCTTACTAGAGATTGGTCTATATTAGGCCCCCATCATCTTGATGAATTTGTGAGGTAACCATTTAACAATTTAAAATTTTAAAAATCACTAAGAATATTGATGAAAGATCTAATAAATTTTTTTGATGCATCACATATTATGTTTTTTAGATTATGGAGTGAGTATGATCCAGACGCCAAAGGCAGAATCAAACATTTAGATGTGGTAACACTTTTGAGAAAAATAAGTCCACCATTAGGTAAGAAAAATCATTTATATATACCTTTTACCGTAGTTGTCGTACTATTCGCAAGTGGAATTCTTTGGCCACGCACGAGTTTCCTTCTTCCTTTAATGGGGAGTCCTTTAAAAGAGACGTGAAGAAGCATTTCTTCAGACCGGCAAGGTGAGGATGATTGGTGTGGCAGTTTATAACTGCTGCACCGGTTATCTTCGTGTCTGGATATTGTCACCATTTAAGATCAGGTGGCGTAGAATCATTTGCCTACACCTAGAAATAAAAAAAAAACAAACTAGAAAGATATTATAGAAGCAGTTGTAAAAATAAATCAATCATTTTTGTTTTTTGAAAACAATTAGACATGAAGAACTCGTTAAATTCACAAACGCTTTTTTGATAGTTATTAAAATACATGTATTCACTATCTATAGTAATATTGAATGATGTTATAGGGTTTGGTAAACTATGCCCCCATCGGACTGCATGTAAGCGTCTTGTTTCCATGAATATGCCACTTAATTCGGACGGTACTGTCAATTTCAACGCAACTTTGTTTGCTGTCGTAAGAACACAACTACAGATTAAAACTACAGGTAAGTTGTCACAATTTTCACTAGAAGTGTAAAATACTTTTAAGAAAAAATTATTTAAGATTGCTTAATAAACTTTATGGGTTCGAAATTGTAATAATAGTATCCGTCCGTCATTGCGTTTTCTCTAGACTGGACAAAAATAAATTCAATCATGGAATAACGTATATTAAAAATATTTTTTTCGTGTAGGTGTCATTGACGAGTGTAACACTGAACTTCGAGCGATCATAAAAAAAGTTTGGAAACGTACTTCTTCAAAACTATTGGACCAAGTTGTGCCTCCACCAGGAGATCCCAACGAGATCACAGTCGGCAAATTTTACGCTACTTTTCTTATACAGGATTATTTCAGAAGGTCAGTTAAATTTTTATTAATCTTGCGATTTGAGTAAGATTTGATCGAAAGGTATAATATCGTCCAGATAAACTAGATCGTACATCAAAAACATTTTTATAATCATAAGGTGCAAATTTGCGACTGGGATGCAAGATATTGACTAAAATCCAGTGAACTTAATCATCGATACAAGATATTTGGATGGTTATCCAATTTTTCTCATAGCAAAATTTTAAATTCTAATCTGATATTAGTCATTTTGCATGTTAACTGTATTTATTTATGAAATTTTACTTTTTCATTGTATGAAAAGTACATGACTTTATGACGTATTTACTCGTGAAATGTTAGTGAAATTATTACTTTCATACGTGTGACAAGAAAAAATTAACAATATTTTATGTTTTTATAGGAACCATGCGTAAGTCAACATGCAAGTTTTTAGCAACTGGGCAATATACCGCTGTATTTTATGCTTGCCATCCTTGGTCTTTTTACCAGTTTGTTATTGTGCCAAGGATGTCGCTTCGTTTTTATAAGATTTCCAGTTTTTTTTATATTGGTCAAAATTCTCTTCACCCTTAAATCATGTTTTACTTAGCTTAGCTTTAAGTCATGATTGCGCGATTCCCTTTTTTCATATTCCAGCTTTTGCAAAAATCAAGGTTTTACAAAATAAAGATAATGCATATTTTCAAATTTACTGCATGATTATCAAAATCGATATATTTTTCTAAAGCATATTTTCTCGGTGTTTGTTGTTTCTTTTTTTTATACAATCACTTGTTTCAAAAATGCACTTCTTTGGAATATTTCTCTTTGCGTTGTTTTAAGCGTGAATAAAATTTATCTTACGTTCGTCAGTTCTGATGCATGTGACAAACACTGTTTTATTTGGCTTGGTTAACGTTTAATAAATTTTAAATATAATTTAATAAATGATTGTAATCATCACAGAGAAGACATGTTTTGAAGTTATCAAACAGTTTTATAGAGTCTCACGGTTTTTCTATAGAAGTAGAAAAGTGCCACAATTCATATTAATAACTAGGAAGATTTGTATTAGTTTTAAAAACTAACTCTTTTTTACTTTTACATATTTAAGTAAATAAGTATCTTCTTACGTCTCATGAAAATAACTTTACTTCTATTCTACTTTTCACTATTTCTTTTGTCTTTTAATAAGTTATATTTGATTTTCTTCATTAGCTGATTTATTATGAAGTTATCAGGTTTCATAACATTATCTGTATATTTATTTCACTATCTTCTGCGCACACTATTTCATATAATTAAACTCTTATAATACATTTCCAAAGCGCGTACATTCTAAAAATAAGCATACTTAGCTAAAATTGCGATCGGTGACCCCATAGGACTATGGAACCGTTTTGATTATACGTTGAATTTTGGCAAATATTTGGATTAAAAATAACCTCGTTACTATAAAAATCGCCTGCAGGTTCCGAAAACGTAAGGAGCAAGCAGCGGCTGCATCGGTTCAGAACAGCCAAATGACTTTACAAGCGGGTCTACGTACTTTGCACGAGGCTGGCCCTGAGTTGAAGCTGAAGAGAGCAATATCTGGGAATCTCGACGAAATCGTAGCGGAAACTGTGGAACCGATGCATAGAGTAAGCATATTGTAGCAGATTAGTGTGAATGCTAGATGTTTCCGCGCACTTAAGCGTTGTTATTATCTTCATTCGCTTTCAATTCAGTGTAAGGATAGACTTAACTACTAGCACTTATTGGCTTTGAAATCCTAGGACTTGTGGTGTAATGCGCACTGTTAACGAAAACTGGAATTACTTTATTCAGTATTTCAGCTTTTCGAGTACATGACACTAAAGGCATTTGTCTCTCTGCCAAATCAAATTCAATTAGAACCAACTCATGCGGTTTCATGGAATTGTGAATATTTTAAATTATAAAATAATGTTTCAGAATGGGAGACTACTTATTCGTTTTAAAATTAAATAAGTTCTAATCTTCGATTTCTGGTAGAAAGCACTGCATAGAAACACAATGTAGTTTTGTCAGTATTGAGATTGTATTAAAACAAAAAGAAAGAGCGACCTAATGATGATTCTGATGATGATCTATCACTAACTATAATTTTAAAACCCTATTTAGAAAAAGCATTTTAAATTTCAGCGCAATCACACATTGTTTGGCGCAGTATGGACGAGTCTCAAGAAACATGGCCGTGAAAGTTTCTATGGGCGTGACAAGAAGATGGCACCACCTTCTGTAAAACTAAAAATACCGAGTATGTCCTTAAAACGTTTGAATCATTTTGTGCATAATTACGTACTCGGGTAATCAGCTTACTTAAGACCTCATTAAATTGATAATACTATTTATTTTATAAAGTCAAAACTATCTCTTGCGGTAGCTCCGGTAAGACAGAAATTTAAATAAAAAAGAATTTCTTAGAAGAAAAAAAATAATTACATGCCTATTTGGAAATTTTAATTGTGATAAATACCATGATTAACTAACTTTTAAGTACTTTACATTGATGCCTTTATAATATTGTAGATAAAGAAGACGGCCAGACGCTAAGTTCTATGATGAGGAGAGAACTTGGTATGGATGGCAAAATTCCGGAAGAAGAAGCGTAAGAATTCTATAATATTCAATATTTACTAAAGGTTCGGCGTAAAGGCGTTAAGTATTAAAAATATGTTATCAAAATATTTATACTGACTATCATGATCTACAAATAGTGAAACAAATGAACGTTTTGTTAATCTTAAAAAGTCAGTATTCAATCTTTACTGTTGAATCGTATAGTAAGATGATTTTATAGAGATTAACATCACTTATTTCAGAAAATATGAAGAAGGTAACCAGAGTGACGAAGAAATAGCAATGACTCCACTATTGCAAGGAAAGGACTCCGAAAGGATATTCAGAGCTATAGAGTAAGTTATACGTAAATTTACTAGACGTTGTATATTATCTGTTACATTATAATTTATTTCATTAGTTTATGATTCGTTATTTTAGTTGCAATAATAGCGGTAGTAGTCAAATATATAAATTAACTGAGATGCTCTGTGAAATCTTCTAATACAAAATATTTCAGACTTCAATGTTATTTTAAGCTTAAGCACTAACCAAGTAGTTGATAGTAATTATGTCTTAATCTTATATATAAAATTCTCGTGTCGCGTTGTTTGTGGTTAAACACCTCCGAAACGGCTTTCCCAATTCTCATGAAATTTTGTGTGCATATTGGGTAGGACTGAGAATCGGACAACATCTATTTTTCATCCCCCTAAATGTTAAGGGTAATCCATCCCTATTTTATTTTTTATTTTTTTATGATACAGCATTAGTAAATACATACTACCCTAAATTTTCACCCTTCTACCACCAACCCCTATTTTTTTATGGCGGTACGAAGTTCGCTGGGTCAGCTAGTATCTTATAATAATGTTCATTCAGTAATCATTGAAGACTAGTTGGAGTTGAGAAAACATTAAAATCGTTGATTATATCTTGGAGTAGTTGATTTTGCTTAAATTGAGCATCTTTAAAATGCCATTTTTTAAATATCTAGCTTTCATTTTTTTTTGTTATTTATTGTACTTATATAAGTAATGTTTTCTAGTGTTGTGTCTAAATTAACAAGTTATATTACGTTTGGCGGTACTATTTTTACTATTTATTTGTTCAGTATTATTTTGTGCCAGTTATTGTGTCTCGTCCACTATGCTTTACTTTTTCAAATCAGCAAATCATGGCACATTAAAATATTTCATAACTGGTATCGTACATATTATATGAATTTATCTCGAGAACTTTGCGAGAATCCTATTGGATTGTGACAATAGTTGTTTATTAAGATGCTAAAATTTTCCGGCGATTGTACGGTGTCAAAAGTGTAAAGGTTAAAACGTTTTCAGAAAAACGTCCAACGATTTAGTGCAGAGTATGAAAAATCATAGTAAGTGTGTTTTAGTGTGGTTTGATTGTTTTTGCTTCTGACTATGTTTCTATTAAATGCAAAACGTTGAAATTGTTTCAAAGCTTTTTGAGAGAGTAAATCTGTACTTGATTCTACTTTCTAATTTCGAGCAGCATAACTGTTTTTTGTAATATTTTGTTTTTTATAATAGTAAATTCTTTAGTCTTCCCCTTCTGCAATCCTATAAAACGATGATACGAAAAAGCAGCAAACAGGTATTTGCATACATATCTACACAAATTTGTTGGTTGGATCATTTTAGGCAAGACAAAATCTTATTAACATGCAACAGAAAATTTACACTATTACCGTGAAACAAGTTTTACGTTATTTTAAATGTTTTGCTTTACACTGTATTAAATTTTTGCATGGCATTACAAATCCAACTAACAATTGATAACTAGGTAGGTCTGTTTGGATGAAATTAAAAGAAGTTTCGTGTCTTAAAGAAATCCATAAATTAAATTAAATTCAAACATAGGATGTCTAAGCCCACTTAATTGTGCGCATAAAGCCGGGTCTCCAACGCGTGTTTTGCCCTACACAATAAACAAAAACATAATTATCAACATACAACAAAATCGTCTACATAAAACTTTGTTGCACTACACATTAATTAAACAACATATTTTAAAATGTAAGTCAGTACTTAAAAAAGTAAACTGTTGCTACAAATAAAACAGAGTTTTTTTTAATTTTGAGTGTGATCGCAGATGACCTTTACAGCGTCACCGGGTTTGGGGACGGCAAAATCCTAAGGGGATCCCAAGTCGAGAATTGGCGAGTGCCTCTAGAGGTATTCCAGGCGGATGGCATCTGCCCACGGGGAGAGTCTCCTCTCCGTCTGAAGCCTCTAGACCACTCAAACCTGAGGAGGACGGCTCAACTAGAAGGCGTCTCTGAGACACGGACCTCGGCTCTAGTTAGTCGTTGTCGTGATAAAAAAGGAATGGGAGCATGCTGTATAAGTACTTTGCGCGACCAATAACTTTGCCAGTGCGGGTCCAATGCCGAACATCATCATTATGTTTACCTACGTGTTTTAGAAAAAAAAATAACTACAGACACTTAAAAATCAACAAGCTAGCTTTGTGTTGAGTTTACTGGCTAACTGATGTATTATTTCCTTGGGGCTCCTTTACCAAAACCTACGCTCCAAGTACAACTTTTAAATTTTGATAAAAAATGTTCGAGACTTTTTTCAAATTTGTCATTTTTCGGATCTGGATCGTTTTTGAACGCAGTAGATAGCGTGTGTAGAGAGAGAACATGTTACAGAAACAAAGTTTTGTGTACCTATGTGTTTTGTTGAATGTATTCCATAAAGTTTTGTTGGACACCTTGCTTAAAACAAGCATCTAAGATGTTAAAAGAGTGACAATTTAAAAAGTTACAAAAAAACACGCATGCGACATTTGCTGAATAATAATAAAATTAATTGGAGATTATTATGAATTTTGCCATTTTAATGGTGGTGCTACCCATATAATAGCAATCAGTGTTATCAGTTTGAAATTTTATCCATATCATTGACATTATGTAGGTACCAGAATGTAACCCAGTGGCACCCCATTTTGTGCTCAGCTTATTCCGTAGCTGGTACAGCGTGTTGGTTGAGTTTATAAAACGCTATACTGAAATCTTAAACTTACAATGTTATCTATTTGAAATGTATCAGGTCGTGACAAAACGTCGAAACTGAACAACAACGTGCCTTATTGCGTAGAGAATCCAGCGGAGAATCTTATTACTCAAGTAAGTACACCATTTTTAATTTAATCTTTGTTTTTGAAAAATATAATTGATCAGAAATAAAATATAACTCAATACAATTACAATTAATAATAATTAAAACGTTTTCTTAATCAATTTAAGAATTAGCTTCTTTGAAGGCCTGTTTAATTCTTTAAGATTATTATGAGTGTGCTATTGCGTCCTCTAAAATATTTTCATGACCTAAAATATCCATTATTATGCTATTATGTACTTATATTTAAATTATCAAAAAATACTCGAGTTGTACAGAAAAAAGCTCGTTTTCGGAGTGCATTTTCATTTCATGCCGTCGTCCAATCATTGTTATTCATCAGATCATGAAATCCCTACATTATACTAAGAAATAAAGTTATTATCAGGGTCGTTAAAAACTGCAAAAGTGGTTACAATTTACCTTTACAGGTCAGGTTAGGTATTTTGACCATGTCGACTTTAAGTCGGTAACCAATCATAAAACGGTGGTATCTCATAGTCTGCCTGGAAATTTTAGGGATGGGTGAGATTTCTTTTCCTCTTTTCATCAAGATAGAGATATATTTTATGAATTGGCGAATTTTTGTTTTTCTGTTCATCTAGGGTTCCACATTGGACAGATTCTACTTCGGACGAACTCCATTTCGGACAGGTGCATTAAGAATAGAATTTTGCTTCTTAGTAGTTGATTATAAATGATATTCCGTTCAGGTACTGACGGAGCAGGGGCTTGGCAAGTACTGCGACAAGGAGTTCATCCAGAGTACCTCGCGTGAGATGCAGGAGGCGCTCGACCTCACACAGGAGGAGATGGACACGTGAGCACGCGATTATATGCAACCTTAACATTTTACGATACTAGGGATTGTTTACAGTGAATACAGGAATTAAGATAAGTCTAGGATTTTGTGACTTAGCGTTAAACATTTGTCCGCTTATTAAAAACAGCGAGGAATTAATTTAGCCTAGTTCCGTTGTTTTTGGTTCATTAAACTCAAATGCCATTTGTCATTCAATGAACAGAGACAGAACATGGAGTAAATTAATCAAGCTTATTTATTAATAAGGGTGTTAAAGTACCATAAAGTTCTTCATTTAACTAGCAAGCATAATATAACTGTTTTGAATCGTCCATATTTCTTTCACACCACCCGTTAAAGATTTTTGAAGTGAAAACTTCTTTAGCGGCGTTGTACACTTTTTTTCGTATGGGTAATAAATGTTAAACTCACGTCAGGTTAAACAAGTGGGCTGATCGCATCATGACACACAATAAATTTGGAAAGGTTGTTGACTTTTAATATATTGGACGAAACATAGTAATATTTTATCGTATTATAATAATAAGTCTCTATCTAGGACGTCCACGTGGCAGCTTTATTGCGAAGAAAATGCATTTTTTTTACAATAGATGTCGCTAGGTGCGCTTAAATGTGAGTCATGTAAGATGATTTCTTTACAATAGATGTCGCTAAGTGTGCTTAAACGTGATTCATGTAAGTTGATTTTTCTGAGAGATAAACTTTTTTAATGTAATATAAATTGTCATGTTTCTGTACGATAGCGCAATAAATAAATATTGTATTCTACCACATACATGATAGTACTTTTATACTGATAATTAAAGCAATTCGTGCAAAATTATTCCCTAACCATTCCGAAATATCAAAAATGCACAACGTTAATATTCAAGTTTTCACTACTGCCGGCACTCCCGGAGTGCAACCCGTCGTTTTTTTTTATTATAATAGTCTTAGTGCAAATGGAGGCAACCTATAAACGGAACGCTGAATAAATAATTTCTGATTTGATTTGACAAGATTCACGTATCTCTTCGCAACAAAATTCTGAAATAAATAGACATTTACTATTAAAAAAGGAATCATCTTACTAAATACTTTTTATTTTCGTATGATTAAATTTAATTCGAACACTTTACTTTTCCAGCGCCGCAAATCGCATTATATTACAAGACAGTAAAATGAGTGCGGCGAGAGAAACGGATGTGGTGAGTATTCAATAACTTAATTCCTAAAGTCTATCTAGAACTTTTTGGCGGGATCGGGAAGCGTCACTTTAGCAGTTTTGTTTTTCTTGTTAAAAATTGTGTTATAGCGGATGTTATTGTCTAATAATGGTGGATTATTAACCACTAAGTGTTCGGGAACATGCACAAGTGCTGGCAAGTGAAATAAAATAGCGGAAAGTGTCTTTCGACGTTCCCTCAAGAAGTCCACGGGGAGGTTCCTGTAAATCCTCACACATTTACTGAAACATAGGGAAAGGGGGATTGACTTGCCTGCTCTTACTTGGACTTGATTTGTTGACCACGAGTGCTATAGAATTTGTAAACATAAAACACTTGGCGTTGGCTAAATGAACAAGCCGTGCGAAGCCATTTAGAAATCTAATGTCATTTAATATTTATTTTCCATTTACCTAAGTTTAATTAACTGCATGATATTCTAAAAAGAATCTTGATGCTGCATAAAATAATAGCTTACTTTGAATTCTACTTGGAATTAGTTAATGTTTTATATAAGATTGTTAAAAATTCAGAAGTCTTCAGATGTTTGGAAGTGTTAGTGCCATATATGTTTATAATATTTTTCTAGGAGAACCTGTTCTCCAGGCAGTACCATCCCTTCCATCAGCCACCGATGCAGCCTCCGCCAAGAAAAAAATAAGATTAACTTTTATATTTTGGATTCCAGTTTTAACCAACTCGGCTGGCAACCGAGTTGGTTTTTTAACCCTATTCCAGGGTTTTTGGACTAAGCAGGTCAGCGGGCTTGCTTTTAGAGACTTCTAAGTTAAAGAAGAATTTTTTGAAGAATGTTTGTATATAAAATGCTTAACCCTTAAACAATGGGTGTATGAACTGTATTTATATTTACATACTTGTTTATATGAATAAAAGAGCTAGGTTAATGTTAAGTTTGAAATTTTTTCACCTTCCTATTTTTTCCAATTGATCGTTTTATACAAATAAATGTAATATTATTAATATAATTTTGGCTAATGAAATGAAATCCCAAATAATTTTCAAAGAGAAAAATTCAATAGAGTTATTTTTATGTAAGTACCTACAAACGTATTAGTCGATGACTAAGTTTTTACAGGAAACTAAATCTATTTAGCTGTACTATTTATTAGTGTCTGGTGTAACATAAATTATTATATTATGGCGATGTGCCTTAAACAAAATATTCCAAAGTATGAAGACGAAATTTATGTGCCAAAGTGTTTTGCCTTAGATATATGAATTATATTTAACTTTACCCTATTAAATTTGTGTATCGAAATTTTCCCATAAATATATTTTCACAAATTATATAGTGTAATTGTATTTACATCTTACAATTGTATTTCAAATGTGCATGATATTTATAACACATTATTGTGTTCAAGTTAATCAAGTTAATGCTTTTTTTTAAATATCTTTTCGTGTTAGAAGTCTTTACTTAAATTAAAATGATATACTACTTAACTGTATGTAATAAATTAAATATTTTTTTATTCAAATTGGAAGTATAAAATAAATATTTTGAATGGTCTAATATAATTTCTCGGCCCTGTTCAGACTTCTTTTCGCCGAAAGAAACTTCATAATACTAATGAGATGAAAAATTATATTTACAAAACTCTGTATCATTATATGGTCAATATTATAATGTATTATCAAGAATTCTATGTAATAATAAAATTGAGGTACATTTTGAAGAGGGTATTTTATTGTTGCTATTTTTCCATTAAAACCAGCGAACCCTATATGAATTACTGCAAATACTTTGTCAATACTTTAGCCTGATTCTTAATTTAAGATTGGTAAAGGTTTTATCGTAAATATAATGTCAACCCCATTCTACGTCCAATAAATTCTGCATTAAACCCGCGAACCCTATATGAATTACTGCAAATACTTTGTCAATACTTTAGCCTGATTCTTAATTTAAGATTGGTAAAGGTTTAATCGTAAATATAATGTCAACCCCATTCTACGTCCAATAAATTCTGCATTAAAAAACACTATACCTTGACTGTGCGTTGCGCAGTCGGGTAAAAAAGACCATTCCACATTTAAAATATGATTGTAAGCATATACACATAACTTTCTTGAAATATGATTTGTTAGGGTTAATTCTAGTCAAAAGCTGCTTGCTTAAGTTATATATTGTATGTTGAGATATATGAGGAGATATTTTAATGTTGTATTTTGTATGAACTATATACGTTATTGTGAATAAATTGTTGCGAAAGATTTTAGTTTACGTGTTTCTTTTGTAAATTGACGTCTTAAATGGTGTTTATTTTTTACTTACACCTTTCGCTAGTCTAGCATTTTTACAAGGATGCAGTCAAAGTGGGAATAAAATTATAAAGGAAAAAATAAATCTTTTTAGCGAGTACAAACGACTGTTATATTGCAGTAAAAGTTAAATTCTCACAAAAAATAATTTGTTATGGATAATTTCATCATAATTTAAGAATAGCAGTCGTTTAAAATTTAACAATATAAACTTAATGTGGAGAGTCGATTCACTTATTTTTCTGTGTACCCTTGTCTGTTTCCTTGATAGATAAAGTGTAAAAAAAGTCTCAAATTACGTGGGAAAGAATTTTATTGTATTCGGTAGGCTCTATGTGAAATTAAATGTGATTCTTATTTCAAAATAATTATTCTTAATCTTTTTTAGAGTTGCATGATTCATCAAATTCGTCATCCTTCAAAGTCTCCAGTTTTTCTGATATTTCTGTCTGCAAATCATTAATCAGCTCGTCAATATTATTTTTAGGAGCATAATCTTTTAAGTCGTTCCAAAGATTCAACACTTCCTGTTTTACAGTGTCTATTTCATCGTTGTTATTATCAGCATCTACTGTTAATAACTCTGATACAACTGCATCTATTGGTTTTCCACCATCATTCAACGGTAAGGTTACATCTGGTATAAAAAGCGGAAAGACGAGATTGCATTGCTCAGTCTCTGATACAATGACATCTGTATTCTCATCATTGCCAATATTGTTAACCACCGTTTCAGGATCTTTGTTCTCTTCAATTATGTACGATTTTTTATTTATATCATATACATTTGGAATGCACGTATTATCATTTCTATTTAGATCTGTTATCTCATTTTGTAATTTTTGTATCGTTTCTTCCAATTCTTCTATTTGTTTATCTATATCACAAGTGTGATTCGAATTGTATTTGATAGGAGACGATATCGTGATTCTTCTATTATTGGATTGATCTTCCTCAACCGCATTGCCGAATTCTATTCTAAACTTTTCCATAATTGAATCGATGTTGGAATTCGTAGGAGTCAATTTGAACCGATCCATGTTTATTCGAGGTACCTTTTCATTCTTTCTTTGCACTCTGCTATCCTACGTTTTCTTTTTAGAACGTCACAGAGATTTGGTTCTGGTGGAGGCTGTAGGGGTGGAGGTGGTGCACAGCCGGGCCAAGGTAAATCAGGTTGTAGAGCGTTCGCATTCGCTATGGCATCACACCTTTCCGTGCCAGTCTTTTCTCTCTCCACAACGCAAACTAGAGGAACTTTAGTCACCGGTGGTAATGGAGGGTTTTTAATTTTTTCAACACAAAGAGCAAGACACTCTGGCGTTGGTATTGGTTCAGGAATTGGTTCTTTTGGGCAGATTTTAATTCCAGCTTTTTTTTTCTGTTCGATTTTCTGCAAAGTACATGGGGACACTGGTGGTACTTTTTGCTTCGGTTCTACGATACACTTCTTAACATTCATAGTATTGAAACAGTTTTAGGAAAATCTGTAGCTTGGTGGTTTGATGGCCATTTTTTTATAAATTTAAATTATACAGGGATTCCGACTCCATGCAATTATTTGCTATTTAACTGTCAATTTCTGTCTTTCATAAATATGTCATGTCATTTTTTTAGTAAATGGCCAGTGTTTCTACTTTATATTAGCAGTATTGCTTAGTATCAGCCGTAAGGCTGTTTGTCCACCGCCGCCGTCACCGTCACGTCACCGAGAACGAGATGACGGCGCCGAAGTAGCGGTACATACATTTACGTAAGCCACGTGTTCGCCGCACATCCGTCACCCGAGCGCTGTCATCCCGGCCGGCGAAATTGCGAGTAGATCGGCGTGACCGCTAGAACGTGGCCCGAGATTTTGACGGGCCGATGTGCCGGCAATACAAAACACGTATGAACTTGTCCACACACTGCCGTCGCCGTCGCACCGTACACGAGCTCAGTTCAGTTGTCTGTCATCAATTATCATAATATATCATTGTAATAAAAATGGCCATAAAATTTAAATACGATATTTATTCATTAATAAAACTTCTCGTTATGCTGCCGCAACTTGGCGTGGTGTACATAAAACGCCTCTGTGATGTATCGTTCACGTATTAGCGGATGAACCCAAAATTCTTTGCATCGCCTGCGCCTTCGAAGGTACAAAAGCAGAAGAAGAAGTTGTCGCCGGTTTAACCTAGGCATCACTTTATTTCTTCGAAAACGCGACTACCACGCATGGCAGTTGGAACAAACTAAACCATCGGTCGCGATGGACAAACGATCGCCGTCACGTCATATTAAACTCGGCCCGAAATAATCTCGTTCTCGGTGACGTGACGGAGACGGCGGCGGTGGACAAACGTCTCAAGGTCTTGTATCATGGTGGCCACTCACCTTCATGCCATTTGATTAAGCGGTTTGAATAAACAGGATTGAGCAGAGCCGAAACTGACCGTGTATGGGGAGTAATTTTGGAAGGACAAGCCACTTGACGGAAATATCGTGATCATGAATGCAGCGAATACTGTCAAACCGTCAGATCGTATGTAAATAAAATTTATGTGAGATTCTTTACTTTAGCAAGGGTTTGCACCAAAAACGCCTTTTTCATTTACAACAACTGCTTTTCAAAGAAGGAGGTAAATTATCCCAACACTTCGTGGCCGAGTACCGAAAACTGCCACGAAATGCCGCTATGTTGTGCGTTGGACATACCACACGGGATGCTATTCTTATATTACGATGGAAGAATGTAAGTTTATTGAACAAATAGGCAGGACAACGTGTTTTAACAATACCAAACAGAAGACTGGCAACATGAAAATAACGTCTTCATTTCGTATAAATTAAATCACTTTTATTTAAATATGGGGTTACATGGGCTCTGCGTGGGATACAAAAGCAGAAACGGGCACAAGAATTCTGTACGCGCTGGATAAGCTTTTTGGTATAACCACAGAGACACTCACTAATAACGACGTCCGCGTGATTGACTTTTGATAAAATTAATGGTTTTCAAAGCCCTATTTTGGTGTCAACATTAAGAAAGTCACTAACTTGGTAAAATACCTTGAGCCTATAGAAACAAAGGGTTGTTTCTATAGGCTCAAGGTATTTTACAGTACGGACAGCATGATTGTGAAATCTTAATCGATTCTCAATGACAATTCCCAAACTTCTAGACTCAGCGGCCTGCTCGATATCGATTTCACCTAATTTTATCATCATCATCAGCCTATTAATGTCCCCACTGCTGGGGCACAGGCCTTCCCTATGGATGGAATAGGGAGTTTGGGCCATGACCCACCACGCGGGCGCAGTGCGGATTGGCGGGTGTTAACGACTGCAAATACAGCCGGGACCAACGGTTTAACGTGCCTTCCCATCGAATGACCGGCAATTGCGAAAGTTACATAACTTTAACGATCACAGCCGAACGCGCTAGCCACCTGGACCATCGAGCTCCTCTACCAAATTTTATAGCAGGAGCGAAATAATTAATTGTAGATATTTATTTGTGTGTGAGATTCCAAGAAGATGAATTTTGATAATGATCAAAAGAAAACAAATGATATTATATTCCGCATTTTAATATATCTATCTATTTTAATATATCTGATTGCGAGACCAATCATTTATCTATGATACCTATGTACTTTTAAAATAGATTTCTAACATCTTAGGTTTAAGATGATGGGGGAGAAATCCATGGTATGTCTCAACCAATGTGAGTCGGATTTGTGCCAGAGTAGCCCGCGCGATTGCTCGACACTCGACATAAAAAAGGCAGAGTCCAATTTTCTTCGTAAAAATAACACGAAAAACCTCTGCACGAAATAAGCAATATTGACAAACAAATGTCATAACTGACGCTGTCAATTTTTTTTGCCCTGGATCTCTCCGTGGTTTTGCCATTTTCATCTATGGATTCATCAGAACGACAACATAACAACGCTAGTCTCTTATAACGAGAACATAGCTATAAAGGGTGTGTACGTTTATGAATAGAGAATTGTATAAAAGGTTTATTAGTACTAATGAGCATTTAACTAAATAGTGTTTTGAACCTATTTTAGAGGATGAGGAGAAGGCTGTAAGGGTTCGGGTGGCGTTTTAGCGTTTTATACATATTCAATGCGCTTGCACTTAATCTTGTGTTTTAACTGATGACGCTTTTTTATGTTTAACACATTTTTTTGGTATTTTTTTAGATGTTGATGATGTTTTAGATGTTGTTTTGATGTTGTTTGGTATTGATTTAGATGTTGGTATTGTTGTAACGATTCACCTTGCGTATAGGTCTTAATGGTTACCAACGCATCCATATCCAAATGTTGTCAATTGGCATAAGGCATACTAATGAGCTGCTTTCATCGGCAATATTACGAAAACTTGAATCACATCCAAATGTGAATAAAACTGAGTTCATGGATGATTGGGATAACTTGAAACAAGAACTTTGTTGTGTAAAACTTAAGATCGTATATTCAAATATAACAAAATAGATAGGAATCAATCAATTGGTAAAGCCACTTCTTTTACATTTCCCTTTGAGTCTGTGCACATCATTCTTCTAACTTTGGGCATTTCTGGGTTTTTGATTCTCTCCTTGCAGAGAGGTGGGTCGTGACACAACGTCTTCTTAGGCCTCGGGAGATTCTCG